TCGGAGGTAACAACAACTCCTCGTCGGGTGGCTACGGAGGCAACAACGACAGCGACAGCTACGGCAGCTCCGGTGGCCGCGGCGGCCAGTCGGGCGGCTTCGGCGGCAACAACGACAGCGACAGCTACGGCTCCTCGGGCCGTGGCGGCCAGAGCGGAGGCTACGGCGGCAGCAACGACAGCGACAGCTACGGCAGCTCTGGTGGTCGCGGTGGCCAGTCTGGAGGCTACGGCGGCAACAACGACAGCGACAGCTACGGCAGCTCCGGTGGCCGCGGCGGCCAGTCGGGCGGCTTCGGCGGCAACAACAACAGCGACAGCTACGGCAGCTCCGGTGGCCGCGGTGGCCAGTCTGGAGGCTTCGGCGGTAGCAACGATGACGACAGCTACGGCAGCTCGGGCGGCCGTGGCGGACAATCTGGCGGCTACGGCGGCAACGACTCGTCGTACGGCAACAACCAGTCCAGCGACGACTACTAAGCGTCGTCGATATGCAGTCGATGGGCATACTGTTGTAGCTCCGATTCTTGTGATACCAATTATGTGCGTTTCTCAAAGCAATGCCACGAATGAAAGAGACGAACACTACAGACTATTCGCCGGTGCTTGTGAACGTTGCAACGTTTCGGGTGATTGACAATCTGACGAAGCGGCTGGGATCCGATGATGATTCTTCTATGCTCGTCTGATGGTTCTTGCTGTTCCTCAGTCAGGGTCTCCTGCGCGGCGCTCATGAGGCGTTTCGCCCACAGGGTTGCATTCGTATCGACTAGTCCCGGAGCGCGACGGACGGAGGAGCCGACACCATCCACAACAGTCTGAGCGGCGTCGGCCGGAGCATCGTGTCGGAGCGCCCATATTGTCTCACGCTGTTTGACAGGCTTTCATGTTGACTTCGGGAAACCTCCGCTGTGCGGGACGTGACACTTTTCCTGTCATTTCTTTCGAGTCCTGCCTCCCTCCAGTCGCATCCTTTCACTGTTGCTCGTCTTGAGATCCGACTTCATCTTCCTTACCATCATTCGCGATAGCATGTGACGGGAATTGCGTCAGCAATGCGTAGGTCAGCATCGCCATCGAAAGCGACACGTTCGGGAACGCCAGTTCGAGCCGGTGTTCGCAGCAATTCCTCGTCATCGGTTCTCAAGACGCCGTTCAAACCGCTGAGCGGACTCGAGGGTAGACGCAAATCGACTTCGTTGCAGAGCGGTCGATCGACGATCGGCAAGCCCGGACTGGCGACGACTGCTGCGGCGAGTGATAGCAATGCCAGCGCTGTGGCCGCGCGAGATCTCTGCTCGCGCACCGTCTCAGAGCTTGAGGAAGAGGTAGCGGATATGCAGATGATACTGAGGTAAGACCATGCACCTTCATCTATCGAAGTCGAACCCTCAAAGGCGCATTGTATTGACGGCGACGGTGCGGTCCGAATTGAAGCGACAAGCTGATTGCGCACAATGCGGCACGCAAGCAAGCAGGCTTGAGCGAACAGCAGCCCGAATAGATCGTCGCAGAGCACATCAAGTTGCTCACCGAATACAACAAGGTCAAAGACGCTGCACAGGTGGTGTTCGATAAGGTGAGCCCGATGGCTCGTTTCGCGAGTTTTGTGATTCCATGGCTGACACTCTGACCGTGGGTCTGGATGGGATGAACTGGTGCAAGATCGCCGAGATCGAACAGCTACCAGCCAAAGACATTCATGCTCGGTACGGCGTCGGTGATCAGCCTGACTAGCGCAGTTCCCTAATAAGAGCTCGTCAAGCCCAAAGGTACTTCCATTTCTCAGGTCTCAACGTTGCTCTGCAACATCTGTCGTGTCATTCGTCTTGCACCAGCACCAGCACCAGCACCAGCACCAGCACCAGCATCAGCATCAGCATCAGCACCGCCATCAGCAACATAATCAGCATCAGCACCAGCATCAGCATCAGCATCAATCGCACCATTTCAGCATCTCAGCATCTCAGCATCTGTCGCACTCGCAACCAAATCCTTCAGACTTGTCACCCTCTCCCCACCCTCAGCCACACACGCACCCGTTGTTTTCATTCAAGTCTATCAACCGCTCTCATTCCGTCACACCTAAACAACCGCCGAACCGCCTCTCTCCGCACTCGCGGGCAACGGCGGCGGTCTCGCCGCTCCGTAGCTCGGGAAATTCCTCCTGCTCAACAGCAAACCCTTCAAACTCCTGATCTCCGCTTTCACCTGACCGAGGTCGCCGGACTTGGGGCTTTCCGTTCCACTTCCTGCAGCATCTGTGCCACCGGCGAATCTGAACGCGCTTCCACCACCTGAATACGATGCTGACGTGGCTGCGTATGCGTGTGTCGAGATATCGGCGTTGAGACTGACGAGTGTTGTTTTGAGGTTAGCGATGCTCGTTGAGCTGGAAGGGTTTTGCGAAGAGGAGGTTTGGGTGTGTTTGTGCTTCTTTTGGTAGGCGCCGTACGGGTCGAATTCCAATCCATCGTCGTCATCTTCGTCAGCAGAGGCGGAGGAGGAATCGTCTTCCCAGGAATCAGAGCCTGAACCTGCGTCGGTTACACTTGTCACCTTGGCACGGCGTGAAGCGCTGGTCGAAGTACGAGATTCCGCAGCGGAAGGGGTAGATCGTCCTGCCAAGTCTCCCTTCATCACTTCGACAAGCCTGGTCAGACTCTCTCGAATTGGTACCATGAGATCAATCGGCTCGGTCTTTCTAAGCTCTTCCGCCTCTTCACCCTCGCCAGTCGAGCCATCCTCCGACCCAACCTCTGATAGCAATGGCGTCTTTGCATCCACCACAACATCCGTTGACGGCATCACCACTTTCTCTCCACTTGTGTTCTGCGTTGATTTTACTCCTTCCTTCTCCGGCGTGTCGATTTCATCGTTGAAATGAACTTTCTTCAACACCCCTTTCAAGGGCGACGATCCCGCATTCGGCGATGCTGCTGCAGCATCGTCGATTCGAGCATGCTGCACAGGGACGTACGTCGCAAGACCAGCGACGCTGCTCCTCAACCTGTCGAACAGAACAATGTGATGTTTGAGGACGATGCTGCGTGCATCGAACATGGCGGTGATCTTGGGCAAGATGTAAGCTCGATAGGACGAGACGAGGATAGCTGTCAAACCGCCGCTGAGCATCATCATGTAGCTGAGTGTGCGGAAAAACTGCAACAGCACTTGATAGCGTGTAAGCGGTGATGGCTGTTGGCCTGACTGTGCTAGTGCTGGTTGAGTTGAGCCAGTGGTCGGTGGGTCGTAGTACAGAGCCAGGGGAGAGTTGGGGTATGATTTCGGCGGCGGAACGAGCGCATCCGCATTGATGGGATCGTCGAATTGACGCGCTGCTAGCTCGAACGGGTCCATGTCGGAAGGCGAGGACGGCTGAGAAGTGAGTCGAGTAGCTGGTGAAGTGGAGTCTTGGAATGCACGCGCAATCTCGTCTTCGGTCAACCCTTTGGATCGAAGAAACTCGCGCTTGTCCTGTTCGGATGCGGATTCAGAGATGTTGGCTGATGTGAGGAAGCGCGTTGCTTGCGCAAGAATTTGTGATCTGTCATCGGTCTGATGAGCGGTTGAGGAGAACTCGATGCTCGAGGACGATGCCTCGGCAGTGGGCGTCCGATTGTCGTCATCCGCCATTGTGGATGGCTGAGCGCAGCGCTAGCGGCGACACCAGGGCTCTTTCGGAGTTTGAGCACGGATGTGAACCGGGCGTCACGGCGTGAGATGTGTGACTGATGGTGGTAGACTAGAAGAGTTGGAGCAGGGTCAGAAAGCAACCCCGCATTTGATCGGACAAGTGGACACAGCTGCGCAATCACGGACGGCTTCGTTGAAAGGCGAAAGACCGGTCTGCCGGCACAAATTGTTAGCGTGCCAAATACGTGATTTTCCCGCGCGAGAAAAATGTAGCTCCACATGCTCGTCTGAGCTCTCAACCCGCATTCAAAGCTCATTGCCTCAACATCGACTGAGTCCCTAACCGGTACGTGAACAGGTTGCACATTGCAGACGGGAGCGGATGCTACCATCCAGAATCAGATAGACTCGCAGAAATGAGTCGAATAGAATTGCGAAGCAAGTGGCACCGACGGGTACACAGAGTCCCTTCGCCGAAGGTTAGAAATTAGAGACGGGTCGCTGAGACAAGTCGTAGTCGAGAATCTGAATTAAGCCTGCACCTGAGCACCCTCACCATCATCCCGCTTCTTAAGGACGAGCTTCTCGCCGTTGGTCAGACGCCTCCATACGTCGTGAACGTCTTCGACGACGGTCTCAAAGTGCGAAGTGGCGTCGTAGGAACGCGTGATGAAGATGTTGTCCTCCTTGCCGCCCTCGATGGGCTCCTCGATGGGGCTGATGGCGACAAACTTGTCGAGAATGGGTCCGAGCAGGTCGAGACCTGGTCGCAGCTCGAGCTCAGGCTTGTCGGTCTCGACGATGGTGGAGACCTGGGCTACGTAAAAGTCGCGAGCGGCGACATTCTGTGCGCTCGAGACTCCGGAAATGTAGATGTCGTGCTTTCGGCCCACCTGGTTTTGAGGGATGATGAGTTGAACCGAGTCCGAGTTGTCCGTGTTGGGGATGGGGTGCTTGAGGATGCAGATGGCACGCACCACCTTGCCCGTCTCGCGCACCTTGTCCTTGCCAGCGACGCCAGAGCGGAAGTAGCTGGGGTCGCCAATCACCATGTCGGCTTTGACGGTCTCTTCGCCGCTGCGAACGCCGACAAACTTGCCTGTCTCCTCATCAACCACGATCTCATCGACGGATTTGTCGAGCATGTAGGTACCGCCGTAGATGGCCGAGAGGCGAGCGAACGCCTGAGGGAGCTCGCCGAGACCGTAGAGCGGGTAGATGTAGGGCGACTTGCCGTAGCGTGCCATGGAGGAAGTGTAGAGCATGATGCGGTCGTACGTCTCGCGAGCGGGACGCTGAAGGTACGAGTCGTCGAGGTGGAGCGCCATCGAGTGACCGATGAAGTCTTTGGTGCCTGGCTCGAGACCAAAGTAGTTGAAGACCTTGACCATGGGGTCCGAGTCGAGGTCGAGGGTCTGGTGAGTAGCGGGGTCCGAGTCGCGCCAGTTCTGGATGAACTCGAAGAATTTCTTTGCTCGACGCTTCTCGAAGAGACCCATGAGCGAAGAGCGGACGGCTTCCATCTCGGTGGCAGGCACCTTGGCGATCCTGCCATCGCGGTAGACGTACGAGGCGGCGATCTGCTTGAACTCGAGGTAGCGGGTGACGTCGGTGTGTACAAGCATCTGGGTGAGCTCGCCGTTGGCCATGATGAGCTTGGGAATGAGGTCGACGGCCCAGTCTCGGTCACGACCCCAGTCTTTGGGAGGCTCTGCGCCAGGTCGGAACTTTTCGTAGAGCTGGGTGAGGTTGAGCGAAGCCATCTCGCCTCCGTAGACCTGACCACGGTCAATGTGAAGCACCTTCTTGCCCTCGACGGACAAGAGTGCCGAAAGCACGCACTCGGTCACACCAGTGCCGAGGATGACGGCGTCTGTGACAGGGAGATAAGACGGGAAGAGGGTCGAGCAGCGACATCATCAGCATGCTGAACGGGGGGTGGCGCAGTCGTTGTTCATCGCAATCGGTCTGAACTCACCGTATTTCTCATCCATATTGCGTTGCGATGGGAAGTCAAGTGGACTAAGGGGATAAAGGTGTGATGGCAAGGTGTGTTGTCGAAGAGGGAAACAAATGCGCGAGAGCAGGTTGCGCGTGCGAGGTGTGCATTCTGCCATGTGTTGCTCTCTCTCTGAGCTTGCTTGCTCCACACGCAAATCAAGGTGCTCACGACGCTCAGATCCTCACTCGAGCCCCTCGAGGCAAAATTCATCAAGATGTGAGACCTAGCCCAAGTGACAGCGCACGAACGTCAAAATTGCTGGCCGGCCAATTTTGGACTCAGCAGCGGCCAGAGGTGTGTTGGTGCGAAACAGGGGCAGCCGATGCAATACAGACTCAGTTTGGCCGTGTTGGTCTCTCGCTCTTCTCCCCGCGCACAGACGGCAGCTGCATGCGACTCAGCCGGTCAGCAAAGCCAGTAGTCTGACGTGGCTTTGGTGTTGGCACGGCTCGACAAGAAGCGTCAGGGTCCAACTCTTCCATTGCACCGTCTCACAGCTCTTCACGCTTCACATCACCAGATACCATTCACCACCCACCACCCGCGTCCACACAAGAGCCGTTCCCAACGGCTTGTCAGGCAGGCTTGCGATCGTCATGACGTCTCTCTAGGTAGCTGCCAATTCCCAGCTCTGTCTTTGGACAGTATAGCGTTCCCCCGACACACAGTAGGCCTCCAGCAGCCAGACCGGCACAATTCGCCGCCATGCTTCGCGAAGCCTTCTACTACCTCCTCGGAGGGATCACCTTCCTGCCGATTTGCCTCACAGTGATACTTCTGCGCTTCTACTTCTCCGTGCCGTCAGAACACCAGTCGGGCCCGCCCAGTCTCGATGCAGACATCGAATTGACTCACGAGAAGAAGCTGGCTGCGCTCGATCTGGCCGCCCGCAATGCTGCCCTTCATGCCGAGATCGAGAAAGCCAAAGGAAAGGACCAACCCCAGGGAGACGCTACTGCACCCGCCACGGCCAAACTTCTTGGCGGCCCATCCACTTCTTCCACGCCCAAACCCTTTTCCTCGGGCTGGCTTACCGTTCGCCCCACTTTCGAATCCGACAAGGACGCTGTCAGCTCAAATGCCACCGGCAGTGCTCCAGCCGCCATACCGGCTTCGCTGATCGATACCGAGTCGGACGCAAGCCGTGACCATTCAGAAGATGAGGCGACGCCGGTCCACGCCGTCGATACCGTCAGCAGCTCTTCCAATCCAACTCCAAAGCACCATGCTGCCAACGCTGGATCCGGATACATGTCCCAAATGTACAGAGGCATTCTCGACTATCGTATAGGCCGTGGTGGTACCAAAAAGTACGTCAACGATGCTTCTAGCACCCGTTCGACCACCTCCTCCAACGGCTCCACCTCAACGCCAACCGGCACGTCTGGTACGGAAAGCTTCTACTGCATCCTCAAGTCGCCCATCCTCTACCTCTATTCTTCCGATGACGTCGCCAATCCCAACACCGAATGCCACGCTGCCATCGATCTCCGTGGCAAACGTGTCAGCATCTTTGTCCATGGAATTGGCGATACCATCGGCGACATCAACCCGGAGCAGCCTGCCAGCACCCTCCACGCTTCCAGCACAGATGACGATGAGCAGCAAGCCTTCGACCCGAAGCAAGCCTGGAAGAGAGCAAAGCGTGCCGGCGTCCGCGACGGAGAACTCTTCATGAAACGCAATGCCATCCGCATTGTCGGTTCCGCCGCCGCGCGCACCTCGTCGTCCAGTCGCGCATCCAAGTCGGGTCGCAGAAGACCGCAATGGTTCATCTTTTGCAAGAACAACTATATCATGGAAGACTGGTACCATGCGTTGCTCCAGGCCTCCCTCGCACCCGATCCGACTGCATCCACCACGTCGAGCGATGATGCGCCCCTCGACCCGCTGTCACGCTTGTTTTCAAAACTTGACGATCCTATCGGTCCAACCTTTTCGCAAGACGATATGGCCTCGCTGCTTGTATCGCTCGACAGCCTTCCAGATCCGCTTCCACTCCGCTGGCTTAATGCACTCCTCGGCCGCATTTTCTTCTCCATCTATCGCACTGCATGGCTCGAAGACTACATCGTCTCCAAAATGATGAAAAAGATGAATCGCGTCAAGACGCCAGGTTTCCTCGGCGACATCAAGGTCGTCGAGGTCGACGTCGGCCGTCGCGCTCCAGGATTCAGCAGACCAATGCTCAAAGCACTCACCAGCGAAGGAGAGGCCAGCATGGAGGTCGCCCTTCACTATGTCGGCGAAGTGCGCATCACCATCTCCACCACGCTCACGCTCTCTCTCGGCTCCCGCTTCAAGACGTACAACATTCCCATCGTGCTCGCAGTCGTGCTCAGGTCGCTCGAGGGAAACTTGCTTCTTCACGTCAAGCGCCCTCCGAGCAATCGCCTCTGGTTCGGATTCACCACCATGCCCAAGATGGAGATCGACATCGAACCCGTGGTCAGCGAAAGGAAAGTGCAGTGGGGCATGGTTACCCGACTCATCGAGAGCCGCATCAGGGAGCTGTTGCAGGAATCAATCGTCGTGCCCAACATGGACGACATTTCCTTCTTTGACACTCGCTCGTTGCCATTGCGAGGTGGCATCTTTGCAGATGCTGCCAAGGCGTCCGACATGAAGCGTGCCGAAGGCCACGGCTCGTTGACTTCGGCAGAGGCAGCAGCACCTGCTACAGCATCAATCCAGCAGGGTCAAGACGTCAAAAGTACCGCGATCGATGTCAAAACATCGGACTTGCTCGCAGCCAACAAGGTAGGCACTGCCAGTGCGCCCGTCTCTGGAGCCGCTACTCCAACGGCTTCTGACCAGCCTGGTGCGTCCACGGACATGCTCGCGGACAAGGCCAGCGAGGCGAGCTCGATCAGCACGGCAGATGTCTCCACAAGCGCCTTGCGAAATCGCAAGAGTGGACTCGAGCCTTCAACACTGCTCAAAGACCCTTCGGCACTCGCAGCGCGCACAACGTCACCGGCCGCTGCGGGTCTCAGCGACCTCTTGAATCGAGATCTCGCAGCAGGCGGCTCGCCTCCACGACAGGATTCGCAAAGCGGCAAGCGCAGAACATGGTTCGGTGCTGGACCCAAGTCGTCTGCCTCCAGCAGTATCAGCTCGTCGTCTGGTCTCTCCAGTCTCGGTTTGGGAGCTGCTGCGCTCGGCGGCAGATCGAATCGAGAGCAAAGCAGCCTTGCACTCGGCAATGCCAGCATCGAGCGGCCCTCCCAACGAGCCCATTCAGCTAGCGTTTCTGCCAGGAGCGATTCGACGCTTTCCGTCCCCGCCGATGCTTCCGTTCGAGCCGTGTCCGACTCCACACCCCGATCCGCATCTGCCCATCCCACCCAATCCGGGTCGAGCAAAGAGGCAGATGCTGCGGCGTCACAGACGCACGACGAGATGCTCCCTTCTGCTGTGGCCGGCGTCCATCTTCACTCGGAGAGCTCGCGTGATGGCCAGGCCGGTCGCTTCCCTCAAGGCGACATAACCTCCAGCGCAGCTCCTTCGCTGATCATCTCAAGCGCCTCTGAGCCAGTGCTCCCTATAGCGGATAGCGTTCCTTCCTCCCGACTCTCAAGAGCCACGTTGGAGGCGCCGCACAGTGACGAAGACGATCGAGACCTTGTCGATAGCCCTTCGAGCTTCGCGCCCAGCACGAGGTCCTCTGTGCGTAGCTTTGGGCTCGACGGCGTGTCTCCAGATTCGAGGCAGAAGGTGCCTGAGGACGCGACCGTGGCCCAAGCATTTGAAGCTCTTGACAAAGCAGAGTCTGCTGACGCTTCACGCCAGAGCCCAGTGCTATCGGGCGAACATAGTAATCGTGTCAGCGAACCGAATGTCTCGAGAAGCATGCCGCCACCTCCTCCTCCGCGCAAGCCGATAAGCGTTTCCAGGGACGATCGTCCCGTTCCTCGCCAAGATGCTACATCTGCCCTCTCCAGCGTCCAGCGCAGTCGATACGGTCTAAATGAAGGGGAACGCGGATCAAACCAGGCACCTGACGGTCTCCCGAGCTCTACCTCGACGATGCTCTTGACTTCGTGGAACAAGGCCAGGGCGAGTATGGCTGACAAGGAGTCGAGGCAGGCGGCTGCGCGTGATGCGAAGGATGCCATCAAGCGCGGATGGGCGAATTGGAACACCAAGCGCACCGAGGCACGACGCGGAACTCAGGCAGATGAGGATGTCGACGAGCCGTACAACCAAGCCGGCATGACCCGGTCGCATTCGAGCCGCTTGTCACTCGTGCCCGGTCGCTCGGCATGGCTTGCCAGCAGTCCGCCTGACCCTACCAGCTTTGGCCTTGGGTTTGATAAGTCGAGTCCAGAAGACACGCGAGCTGCAGGTCGTGACAAGCATGCTTCGACGGCGAACTACTATGCAAACATGCGATCGAACCTCACCGACACCGATGATGACAACGCCAGCGTGCATTCCAATTCCAGCAACCGACAGCCTTACCGCGAGCTGAGGGCCTCGAAGAAAGTGCACGGCTTCGACAGCAGCTCGACTGAGCGTCCATCGTCTGGATCCTCGAGCAACTTCGCTTCGACGACTTTGGACACAGCTGCACCGTCGTCAAAGGCCGTAGCCGACGCCTCTGGCTGGTCTGGAAAGTGGGATGCAGACGTGCCATCGCTGACGCCTCCCGCGCTCGCCTTCCGAAAAGACCGCGATGAGGACGACGGTGCCGAGCCAAAACGCAACCTTTTGGAGAGAGCGTTGAGCAAAGAGCGCCCCTCTCCGCCTGCCTTGCCGCAGCGCAAACCGAGCAGCAGCATCCTTTCGACATCGCAGGGCAGTAGTGGGGGCCTCTCCTTCATCCCACCAGCACCGGCGGCTACGACCGAGCTGGCGTCCGTGTCAGGTTTGTCCGACCACGGAGTATCACCAGCCGCAGTAGAAAGTGCAGCACGAACGCAGATCTCTAGTCCGAAGCAGAACTCGGCTCTCAGCGCCGATCTTAACGCTGCAGGCCCACGAACGCCCGAACGCGCCAAAGCTGGCGAAAAGGCCAGCCCGTTGGTCAAGTCGGATTCCCGTAGACCGAGTCAAGTTATTACAGAGTCGCCTGGGCAGACAGCAGCCGAAGTGATCGACGAGGCAAAAGCGAATGAGTCCGAGGCGGCAATGAAGTCGAAGCAATCGAGCAGCGTGACGAAGAAGCAAACTACATTCGGACAGGAACAAAAAGATGCGGCGACTGAAGCCGCAGCACCCGAGAAGGATGTTGCGAAAGTCGAGCAGCCTCACATTGCTGCGCCCTCGGAAGTGTCTTCGACGAGCCTGGGATCTGGGATCAAGAAGCAGCCTGGTCGAGCAACCATGATGGCTGTGCCTGGCATTCCTTCAATGCAGAAAGCTGGTCCGCAGAGCTTCAGTGCACCTCCGCCGCCTGAGCCGGCCCCTGGGTCGAAGGGCGATCTGGAGACGTCGCCGAGCGCGTTCCGGGCGAGTTCTCTGTTCAAGATGCCCACGTTTGGAAGTCCCGTTCTGGCTGGCGGTGGCGGAGGAGTGAAGGCTGGCTCTAGTACGAGAACGGCAGATGATGCATCGACGTCTAGGTCATCGTTGGCCGAGTCGCCAGCGAAGCAGGGCACGATACAGCAGCCACCTCCTGTTCCGGCGAGGCCGGGCACAGAGTCAAAAACGGAAGGAGGGACGGCCGCGGTGCCGTCAGAAACGAACGCTAGCGCACTCGGCTTGACGCATATGGATCAACAGAATGCTCCGAAGCAAGTAACATTTTCTGACGAGCCGGTGGAAGGCTCTCTGGGCAAAGGTGGGGTAGCTTCAAAGACGACGAGCAGCAGCTCCCTTGTAGAGCCTCGTGTCGATGGCGATGCTCAGGAGGACAACGGCGTCAATTTTGCTCAAGTAGCCAAGGCGGAAGGGCCAGCAGCCGATCCTGACTTTGAGCAAGCACAGGTGGATGCTGGAGAGACGGTCAAGATTGATCATAAGGAGGTGAAGCTTCCCACGTCGGTTATGGAGTGAGGGATGATGTTCTTCTCGTTAGACTAAAGGGACGGCGGGGGATGGATTGGTCATGCGATATGATGTGATGTGCTTGAATGAAAGCAAGATGATGGGGTGCAATGATGCCAGGATGTGTTTGCATGCGTCTGAGGAGTCGAACTGAAAAATTAAGGATCCAGAAGACCGATATCAAACTCTCTTGCTAGATCGTCGACGAGCGACCCATCTGACTGGCCGGGCATCTTTAATCGATCGCCCATCCATCGCCAAACGGCGAACGAATGGTTCAGCCCCTTCTGTTCCTGCAGCGCATAGATGCCACCATCCTGGCCTGCATCGTCGCACCTGTTGGGTTCGGGAAGCTGTGAACCGCAACAGCCACCTCGACCGGGGGAAGGGAGGAGGAAGTACACCTCGGATACGCGCGAGTGGACGAGCGCCATGGTGCAGTACACGCACGGTTCGTACAACGCAAACAGGGAGAGCGAGGTTAGGAGGTAGTCCGATCCGTTGGCTTCAGCGGTGGGGGAGGGGAGGGAGCGATCGAGGGTTCGGAGGACAGAGACGCGGGAAACGGCGTCGATGACAGCGTGTTTGAGTGGATTGCGGAGGGGAATTCGGCGGTCGAGAGAGTCGAGCTCGATGGTACCGGAGGAAGGTGGAGAGGAAGAGTAGAGGGGGCAGGTGGTGGTGTTGAAGCGGGTCCATTCGTCGACTGACATGTGTAGGGTGGATAGGAGGGAGTGCTTTTGCAGGTCGGAATGGTGTTTGTCGTTCGTGGAAGTGGATCGAGGTTGAACGCGTCCGATGAGGGGTGCGGTAGGACCGATCAACTCTGACCAATCGCATTGCTCTCTTTCCATCCACTCCATGCTTCCTTCCGTGGCGCTGAATCGTCGTGCGACGTCGTACGGATGCGTCACATGCACAGCCGAAGCGATCGCCTTCAACCTCCCCTCCCCCTCCCCATCCCCACCCTCCGCAATCGCATACCTAGCCAGCGCGACCACGCGTTTAAAGCGATTCAGCGCCCACCTCAACCTCCCCTCATCCTGCGTCCACACCGCCGCATCTTTCTCCCTATCTACCAGCAGCACCGGTCCAGCGCTGTTCCCACCACTTCCCGGCACAAGCTCCTTCGGGTTGGTGCGGACGATGCACGGCCAGACAGCCTGCCACTCGGGCAAGCGTTGTTTGGTGGGTGCTGCGATAACAGGTACCGGCGCTACGTAGGGGTTCGGTTCGCTGCCAAAGATGCCATCCGCGGTGCGGGCGAGCCATTCGACGAGCTGGTTGCGGTCGGGAAGAGCTGTGCGGAGGCAGAGGAGGAATTGCGTCCGAGGTTTCTTGGTTTCCGGATCCGCGGCGGTTCGGAAGGACCGAAGGTGGCGGGTCGAGTGCAGACCGTCATCGCGATTCTGGAGGATGGAGGAGTGTTGGTGGAGGAACTTGACGGCGAGGGAGGCGGAGGTGGGAGGGATGTCGATGATCCAAGCTTCTTGGGTGGTGAGGGGAAGGGTGACGGGGTCGATCGCGGCGGTGAGACGGTAGATCGGTGGGAAGTTTCTCGCCGATCTGCTAGGTCCAGCCTTCTGTTTCACCTCGATACCGTTGACCACACCTCTTTTGCTACTCTCAACTTCTTCTTCGTCATCATCGTCATCATCCAAGCCGATCCTACCCATCTGCAATGCCTCTTCGGAAACGTCCTCTCTCCTCCTCCTTTCCTCCTCCTCCCTCACCTTCTCCTCCTCCGTCATCTCTGGCTCCCACCACATCCTTCCGCTACCATACGAAATCACCAGCTCCTCCCCCTCCTCCACCCGCCTCACCGTCTCATACCGTATCGAATGCGTCTTGTAATCCAACGTCCACTTGACGTTCGGCCTCGCAGAATGGTTGAACAGACTCCCCAGACCCAACGCAAGAGCCATGATCGCTGTATCTTTGCCCGTGCGTTTCCAGATGAATGTGTAGCCGTCGAGCTGTGTTTTGCTTCCGTACTCTCGGTACTCGGCCGGGGGGAAGAGCAGCACGGGGCTGATCTCTATGAGCGTCTCCGAAGCGATCGGTTGCGTGGCGTAGATCCCACGACCCGATCCGGTAGGCGAGTCCTTGATGACCAGCCCGAATGCGTTGAGGTGCGGAGTCGAGGCCGGGTATCGGAGAAGAGACTGGATCTGCGGTGACTGGTCTTCAGCTAGCGCTGGAATGTGTGTCTCGACCATCTTTGCAGCCGTTCCGCCATTAGCAGCGCGAACCGGAGTTGTTTCGTCGCTTTGATAGAGGTCACCTCGCTGGACAGTCAAGAGGGTCAGAAGCATTGATGCAGGAAGAAGCTCTGTTGCCAAATAAAATCTTGAACCCTGAATCGGATGTCGGAACACTCCACTTTTTTTTCTGATGCTGCACAGCGCACTGCGTTCTTCTCACGCGACATTCACCAACTTTCGCCCTTTTCACGCTGCAGCAATTGGTCGCAAAGAGATGATCGGCGATGAAAACATGTCGCTACATTCATACAAGCCAATGTATAAAGATGGAAAGGAAAAGGAAGTGTAGATTGACATGAAAAATGCTTGGCACGGCAATCCTAATTGGCAGCCTTCGCACTGGCAGGACGATTGGCCGCAACGATGCTCTCCGGATCGGGAATACCCGCAATCTGCTCGAGAGCCTCGCACTGTTGGGTCAGCTCCTTGCTCTTCCCATCCAACCATCGAATCAGGTCGACCGCCTGGAACAGAACGGCACTCTTGGAACCAGCGCCTCCTCCGGCACTGCCTCCACGACCCCTACCCTTGCCACGCTGACGGACTCCATCCGGACCCGCCTTTTTCGCCTTTTTGGGCGGCTTCTTCCTGCCCACAGTCAGCACATCGACAACATCATCGATGTCGGATCGGTCGTCGAGACCTTCATCCTCCACACCGGTACCGAATCCGGAAGAAAGACCCAGTGCTCGCGCTCCAAAGTTGCGGCCGTCGTCGAGCAAGACGACGAGGTCTTTGAAGCCTTCACGAATGTAGTTCCTGCGCCGTTGCTCCGAGAGTATGTGGTTCTGACGCTTTTCAGACTCGGTTAGCAACTCCCTCTTACTCGCTGCACTGCTATCCGCTTGTCCGAACCTATCCTCCTCGTCCTCGTGCTCCGTTTTGAGCTTCTTGCCAGACGCGCTCTTCGCCGTCGAGGCAGACTTTGCCGCCGGCCGCGCCGGTTGTGCAGCCTTTGCTTTGTTCGCGTCGTTGCTCTGCGCCACCATATCGAGGCCCGCGCTCATGCGGAACATTTCCGCGTGCATGCCGGTGAGCGATCCGAGTGCCAGTGCTGCCTGCGTCTGCTCGTCTGCGTCACCTCCACCAAAGTGATCGGCATGACGTTTGCTCCCCGTCGCCGAATAGTCGTGAACAGTATGTTGTGGATATGCTTGTTGCGCTGGTGCGTGCTGTGTTGAAGCGGCGCCGGAAGACCATTCCGACAAGCCGCCGCCGAAAGCTGTGTTGACGAGATCTGCCTCGTGGTGGAACGAGCGCGCCTTGTTGCTGCTGAGCGATCTTTGATGCTGATGACCACGACCGCTGCCATGCGGTGACGTGGCAGAAGAAGAAGTGTCGTGGGGGCTCTGCGAAGAGGCTGTCGCCGATCCCGACGTGGATGCCGACGACGCAGACGTGATGCCTGCGGCGCCCTTGGTACGGCTCTGCAATCGTCGTGCTGCGGCCGACATAGCTGCACCTTCGGTGAGCATCGGGTCTCGGCTTGCTCCTGCTGCTGAGCCAAAGTCCGCTGGCAAACCGATGGCATCCGCAGCTGCTGCTGACCTTTCTGCTGCTGCAGCCGAGAAGCTGGGCATGCCCTCGGGAAGGCTAGGATCAAAGTCCCACTCGAAGCCTTCCAAGAAGTTGACGAGCAGATTCTTCTCCTTGGCGTCGAAGAGCGGATTGGTTTGGGAAGACTTGTCACCGGTTCCTGGTGTTCCGATGGCAAAAGGCGACAGGGTGCCGCTGGCGAATGCGTCCATGTCGAACATGTTGGGTCCCGATGGCTCGAAATCCGGAGGCGGAGGTGGTCTCAAGGCAGATTCGGAGAAGCGTGAGGAACCAACTCTTGGAGAAGCTGGTCTGCTGCCCTTGGAGAGGCTTCCTCTGCGGCTGTTGGATCTGCTGGCCATGTGGATGTCGTCGTGACCAAAAGTCAAAGCCTGCGGTGTTGTGCCCATGAAATGCGATGTGAGGCCTGGGGTCATGGGATTGGACGGCCCGCCCTTTCGATCGACCGAGCTGAGGAATTGGAGATCACTGAGGTCAAGCTCAGCGGGAAGGTCGAGAGAAAAGTGAAAATCCTCGTAAGGAACAGGCATCGGAGGGAGGTCCGACGCCCTGTCCGTCGAGTCGGCCTGCGATTTCATGGCTTCTGCCGACGTGGACGCCGAAGCTGAGGAAGCAGACGAATTCATCGGGATGGAGGAAGCTGCGGGCATGGTGTGAATGTCGTTGATTGGTGGCAGCTGAACGGCAACGCTCATGCTTCGCTTGTCGTGGAGAGGACTCTGTCGAGGGCCGGCTTTGGGCGGGACGGTACTTTGGCTATGTTGCTGAGCCGAGGATTAACTGGACTGACCTAGCGAGCTAAACGTCAGTGAACAGCCAGGGATACGGCGAAGAGGATGTCGTATCTGAGACGTTAAGAAGGTGAATGTGGAGCGGGGATCGTGAGAAGATTTGAGCTGATCACGCAGCGAGTTTTGGCGCAGGTGCGTGCCTGATTGTTTATCGATTGCGATGTCGAACGAATCGGATATCAACGCCGAAGCCGTAGCTGCTTCAGACGAAGGGTCGGTGTGAGGCTTCCTGTGAAGCTGGTAGACGGGAGCCTGCAGGCATGTGTCGGTGCCACGAATGGGTCGGACGAGGGTTCCAGGTCGATCGTCGGCCTGTAAGGTGCAGCGTTGTAGGGTAGCACGGCTGCTATAGCAGCTTTGGGTTGGCGGTGCGATTCGCTCGACCGTAAAGATGGGTGACCCTAGAAAACCGACTCGTCGCAGAGTGATGGTGCGATGCAATACGTAATGGTATGATGGTTGAAGGAGAGAGCGACAAACGAAGCAAGGAAGATGAGGTGAAGAGGAGAAAGAGGTGGAGAGATGCAAAGCACCAAGCTAGAGCCGTGGAATTAGCGAAGGAGGAAGAGAGAGGGAGCAGAGCGTTGCATCACCGGGACAGCAACGCTGGACCGGCTCGAAAACGGCAGTCGCACACCCCCTCAGCAGTCCTCGTCTGGCTTGGCCAACCAACAGTGCAAGCTCAGATATTATTTTATTCATTATTTTATTTATTGAAATTCGAAAGGAAGAAGCACCAGAATCCGGAGAAGCCGCTTCATAGCTGCTTCAAAGGGGATGAAGTGAGACATGGTCGGGTGAGGAGGCCTGCTCAACCTGGCTCTTGTTCCGTGCTCGTAGTCCCACCATCCCCCTCGTCAGCACTTAACAGCCGGATCGTCCGACTGTCGTGAGCTGCCCAGATTCTTAAACTTCGAGCAAGATGTGATGAAGCGCTCAGTATCGCAGCCCACGTTCGGCTCAGACCAACCAGGCGATGGAGTGCGAAGCAGGTAGACTGACTCGCATGGCAATTGAGCTCGTCGAGCCTTGCTGGTTGGCTTCGCAGGCGGTGCTTTAGAGAGACACTGGACGAAGATCAACCAGATCAGTCACAGTTGACGAATAGCCTGAACGTCAGGATGGTGGACCCGTCAGACATACCATGAGGTCGATCGATGATGTCTATCGCGGCGTAGCCGAGGTAGGTGGATGAAGGGCATCTTTCGTCGCATCCTCGCCATCGCTTGTCCATCAGCTACGGACCGCCAGCCTGTCTGCTGGCGTCGGGCTGAGTTTGGCTCCCAGAGAGTATCGCATTCGATGTGAATTTCAATCGGCGACACTTGTTATTGGCTTCAGGTGTATCGGACTTGGATTCCTTTACAGCATAAGCTGCACACGTCGGAGCTTTGTCTTTGTGAGGTCACGATACCCTGCAATCGACTGTATAGCACTTTCAGCCAAACAGAGGAAGCCGAAAAGGGATGACGAGACTCGTTGTCTCCCTGCCTCTCTCGGCACTGGCCAGCAGTCAAACCACGGAGATGCCTTCGTGGATGAGCAGAAGCTGGGTGCTTGCAATCGTCTACTGTTCGTGCTGGGGAAAAGCGCAGAGCTCGGCGACCTTCCAAGGGCAACGGTTGACGATCAGGCGTTCAGCCAAGCTTGCTCGATACAGGACACGACACAGCTGTCCTGTTCGGAGGAATCGCTTAGCTCGCCAGCAGCGTTACTTTGGCTCTCATTCCATCTTTGACCGCCTTTACATTGACGCTAGCGGTGCGGTGTGATCGGGAACCCCTCGAGGCTAGCTCCAGCTTCGTTGTGGGGCTCCTCGAGTGCGCCTGTCACCTGCGTGTAGAAACATGTGCGGGGAAGCTTGAGCACTGCCATAACCTCCGAGGGATCGATGAGAAATTCTCAAACCGGGCTCGATTGGCGCAGGTTACCACCGAGACGATCGACTGAAAATTATAGGCAACGTTGGAGGTAAAGCCGCTCTCGCGGACACAACACAGCTGCAGAGAACTTCATCGCAATCGGATGCCGCATGAGTGGCTGCGAGCGAATCTGTTGTCATCACCAGGCAGCAGACAACGTTCGACAGATCGATACTGCGCCAGGAAACGGCAATGCTGAAATGTGGTGGATCGGAGCAAAATGTCACACTGTTCGGATATGCCTTGCCGAGCCGCTGTTCGATGCTCAGCATTAACGACCGCAGCAACCGGGCAGACTCGGATCGTCCGACAGTAACTTGCAGTCAACACAGATTTTCTTGAAGTGTGCTAGCGCCGTTGTCATAAACCGCCGCGCTCGCGATGATGTTGTTTGTCGTCTTAGCGTCGAAAGGGCGGGTCGATGGCAGAAAACTATACTGCGAAGTGAGCCGAGGGCGGCAACCGCGTTTTTTGCTTGTGCCTCGCTCGCGTGAAATGCAGCTGTGCAGCACCTTAGCAGCGAGTCGGCTATCGAGCGGCTCCCGACCAGATTGGTGGAAAAGAAGGCGTTCTCCCTCCAGCAGCATCAAGCCACCACCTGTGGAGAGAGCGTCCCGCAAGCCTATTCTCAATTCGAGATTTCTCTTTGGATTTCAAAACTCTCATCCAGTGCGGCGCCCCGTATCTCCTGTAGCTCGCTTCCGGGAAAATTAAATAATTTGAGTTGCCCATGTGCATCACGACGTCCATTACACAGACATCGGCTGCAGCTGTCTGATCTGACGACCGTCACGAGCCTGTCCACGACAACGGAGGTCATGACTGCTCGCTTTCGAATCATTCGGACGTCGAAGGGGGTTTCGCTGCATCGGCGTCGGGTCGGCTGCAACCAATGTACAGGCGCTCCCTCAACGCTTCTACTGATGAACGACGACTAGCAACAATGGAATGGGAGTTTGCTGAATCGACACCCACAGAGCTTCGAGAGCTCTCGTGTGATCCCATTCACACAAAAATACCACTATGTGTGATGAGACGCTCTTGTCTGCGGTGCGATATCCTCATGTGCGGTCTAGCGTGTTCAAGCAGGTAGGCTTCGGCTTAGATCCGAACCGCACGCATTGGCGACCGTGATGGACCCAGCTTGCTCGCAAGACCAGCTCCGTGTGAAGAACGACGACATCCAGAGTCTCAGTCGATGCAAAAAAGGAATCTGTGGGGCATTTCTTCCTACACCGCATGTACATCAGTGCTACGTCATGTCGACACATGTTTGGGCGGATTCGCGCTTTAAATTTATGCAGTATGCATGCCTCGCCATTCGCAAACCTTTCATCTGGAACAAACAACGCACAAGCTCGCCTGACGAGTCCAGGTCTACTATCGACACAGTGTATATCTCCGGCTTTCGGTAAACTTTCCCCCATCGGGACGGTTAGGTGGACATTTGACCTGCATAGAGTAGCTCCATCGGCATCACACACCTCGATTCCTTCACGATAGCTATGACAGGACTGGTTCTTGTAGGTTGAGACAGCACCACGTCAGCAGTCGCCGAAGGGGACGCTTTGCGCGCTTTTCTCAGGGCTGGGCTTGAGAGCTTGCATTCTTCTTGGCTCCTTCTTCTCTGTCAGTCATCAAGTACAGTGTATAGTTTGTTCTTGATGTGGATAGTGGCACTATGCCGTTGCGTCTCGTCACGAGAAGGTTTTGCAGCACGGCACATACAATGCTGTCGGAGTCGAAAATGCTCGCTCTCTTGCTGATTTTTGAAGATCGTCATTTGGCATGATGCCGAATTCCCCGCATACTCAGCCTGACAACAACGATCGACTCTGTGATCCGTGGGAAAGGAAGAAGGCCTCTTTACCTTTGTGTAAGTTGCGTCTGCTCTTGTTGTACCCACGAGGCCCATCGATGCCTCGTGAGCTTCGCTTGTGGGCGGCCGCTTTCTCCATAGACGAGGCGGAGTTGCAAGCCTCAGGAACATGAGCAGAACCTTGTTTGCTTGGAGCCTGTATCGTCATCATATCTTGGAGCAAAGGTATGTGTTGCCGTCATGTCGCCCCTTCAACGTGGGCGGTGGCACGGAACCGAACAAACATACGGAGGAGGAGGCACATCAGAGCTGTGGATGCTACGACACGGATGAACTTTTTCTCATGCGAGGTGTTAGCCCGCAGATCGAAACATTTTAACTAGCTTTTCAGCCACGTGATTCCGGGAAGTGTTACTTCTGCAAGCGTTGCACAGTTCTTCTAGCACAGACCTCGGCACCATCCTCTCTTCTACATCCCACTCATCATCGGCTCTGCTTCACTCATGAGCGCATCAACAAGTCGCGAGACGGCCGTGTCTGCGCCGGGCAAGGTACTCATAGCTGGCGGCTACCTCGTACTCGATCCGGCGTATCCTGGTCTGGTCGTCTCAACATCGTCCCGCTTCTACTGCCATGCACGATCAGAGACCTCGCTAAACCCTGCAAGCGACTCGAGCACAACGAACTGCACTATTACCGTGCGCTCACCTCAATTTGTCGACGCAGTATGGGTCTACCTTGCCTCATGTGTGCCCGCGGCCGCATCCAAGAGCAGCGGTGCTAAGCCGCAGTGGATTATCGAGCAGACCGCCGAGTCACGCGAAAAGGCTGGACGCAATCCTTTTGTCTCCCTCGCTCTCGCTTACACTCTGAGACTCGCAGCAGAGCTCACAGAACCAGACGAGCTAGAGTCTCTCTTCCAAAAGACAGGATCAAAGGGTATCGAGATCACAGTAGCAGCGGACAACGACTTTTACTCGCAAAGAGAGACCCTCAACCTTCCGGAAGGCACAGCCCCAACGGTGGATCAGCTTTCGAGCCTGTCGCCTTTCTCGCCCCAGAAATGCCGTATCGGTGATGTGCATAAAACCGGATTAGGATCGAGTGCGGCTATGACCACTTCGCTTGTAGCGTGCTTCCTGCTTCACTTGCAAGCCGTCGTCCCGAAGGGTCCCAAAACGCTGGAAACGGAAGATCTAGCTCTGATACACAATCTTGCACAACTTGCACACTGCGCGGCTCAGGGAAAGATCGGCTCTGGCTTTGACGTCAGCGCTGCCATGTGGGGAAGTCAACTGTACCGACGCTTCGAGCCAAAGGTCTTGCAAGCGTGCCTAGATGAAGGCGAGAAGGTGTTTACCCAAGGAGAGGAATCGAGCGAGCAGCGCGAAGCGAGACTGGCGGCACGGATCGAGCTGCTTCCTGTTCTGGATCCATACAATCCGCTGTGGAAGGCTTCTCCTTTGTCAGAGGGTGGCAACTCATACTCGACCGCAACGGAAGGGCTTGCAACCTCAAACAATGACGCAGTTCCGACACCTGCCCCGCTACAGCTCCCACCTGGCCTGGACCTCCTGCTAGCCGATGTGGATGCCGGGTCCAACACTCCAAGCTTGGTGTCCAAGGTGCTTGCATGGAGGAAAGACAAGCCCGAATGGGCCAAGCAGCTGTACAACGTCATCGCCGCTTCGAATCAGGGCCTCGCCGACAATCTGCTGCGGTTGCGACTGCTGCATGCATCCGACGCCGCTGCTTACGATCAGCACGTGGACTCAGCAGCGGCACAGCATTCTATCGAATGGGATGCCGTACTCAAGACGCTCCCCAAAGATGCTGACGACGAACAAGCCGAAGCAGATACCAGCATCGTCGACTTGCGCGTCACACCAAGGACGGTACTGCAAGCTCTGATCGACGTACGCAACAGCCTTCGCTCCATCCGTGCTGGCATGCGCGAATTGGGTCAACGAGCCGGCGTTCCCATCGAGCCACCCGAGATCGGCAGCTTGATCAAGAAGATCAGCGACGAGGTGCCCGGTGTGGTCGGCGGCAGCATCCCAGGTGCGGGCGGATTTGATGCTTTCTACGTGATCTACCTGCGCAGTTCGAAGAGTCCGCGCGACCTCTCACAGCTGTGGGGTCAGATTCATGCGGTCAAGGAGAAAGCAGAGTCGCAGCTGACGCTCGGACCGCTGTTGTCGCGAGCAGGAGGGGCAAAGACGACGTCGGACAGCAAGGAGGGCGATGCTGAGAGGGAACAAGGAGTTGTTTCGGAGCTGCTGGAGAAATTGAAGGCGTCGGAGAACGCTGGACAGGACTACGGATTGCGGCTTGAGAGCACGGAGGGCGTGAAGGGTTTGAAGGAAGCGATTGCGCGATGTGCGTGATGAGCATGTGTTCAGCTTCGATACCCTGCATTGCAACGAAAGATCATAGATTGCGCGAGACAGCCAAAAGCCTATGAAGACTGTTGTGTAGTAAGCGGACGATGAGCTACGCGTCGTGTAAAGAGGGTGACATGAGTTCCGAAGATTTGGAAGTGTTGATCTTGAGCACCGATTTCAGGGTCCACTTAGCACTCCTCGAACCACGACGTGGGCATCTCACTCTCTTCCTCGACAAAACAATCATGGAGAGCTGAGATGCTGCCGCATAGATCCGCGCAGAGCGATGTAAGATGCTCTGTTCTGCAACGACACTTTGACAATGTCGTACCACTTTTGGCGTTCATTCGCAAGTATTTTGGTGTTGACGTAGCCGCGTCGAGCAGCAAGCGTCCCGCCAGAGATCTCTCTCCCGACCGATGGAAGCGTCTCGACGGCACCCTGGTCGGCATTGACGTTATACACCTCAGCCAGATACCAGCTTTCGGCAGTCAACAACCGGGTCAAAGCGGACCGTGTACAACGGTCCACGATGCGGTCCAGGAAGCTCAGTTGCAAATTCTGGCCAACGCATCGGCATCGGCCAGTGCTGGAGCAAGAGGCAAATACGATGCGTCGAACAATGTTCTGCTGAAAGGATACAGGCGACCTGATGATAGACTGGAATCGTTTCGCTTTACATCCACGGGCAGACCTGGTCTGATCAACCTCTATCCAAACTCGATGGTGACGAGCCTGGTGTTGGACCAGGAGTGGGACTACGTACATGGTAGAGTTGGGACGGACAGGTTTGTCTGGCTGTTGGTGAACACGAGCATCTTCGTGCCGCTGTTGAAACATGGTGCTGATGGAACTTGCTTTGTCCAGATGACGGGAACGGCGATTAGCGAGCGTTCGGCAAGAACAGGACCAGCGGCGACGGCGAACACGGGCGGTGTCAAGCGCAAACATGATGATGTCGCTTCGCCTGCGGACACGCTTCAGCACGACGGCGGGATGGCACGAACCCTTGAACCGAGTGAGATGCCACATCCTCTGCTCATGCGAAAGAGGTCGAGAAGGCTCGACAGGGTGGATTCAAGGATCAGCGTACGATCGACGAACTCAGCACACGATCTTGACGTTGCTCGGATTCGAGCATCTGCCTGTGGCAGCGCAGAACGAAAGCCATCGGAGATTGTTCTCGTCCGCAGCAGGATGTTCTACGCCCGCTCCTCTCGCAACAAATCCGGTCGTGTCGAAGTCGGCCTGCCCAGCGTACACGTTCTACCCCGATCGTCCAGCAAGAAGGAGCTCGACAAAGTCCTTCCTTCATTCAGCGCATCTTCCAACTCCCGATCCTCTCGCAGCAAGTCCCTCCCACCTCGCTCTGTGTTCAACAGCAAGCACGACCTCAGATCCTCCGAAATGCGATTTCACGAACGACGCACCCGGCACTTGGCTAAGTACGTCTTTCCGCGTCACTTTGGCCTTCACAACGTCTTCACCGGCCAGCGAGACTACGATACCACCACTCAGCCTTTCAGAGACTACACGGTCAGAGAGGTCGAGATCAAATTGCTGGGAGCAAAGCGCACACCTAAGGTGCTGAGACCGGTCCTTCCAGTGTTGGCAAAGATTTTGACCCGGCACGACAAGCTGAATTACAGAGCATTGCTGGAGCGCTGTTGTCCGTCCAGGGTACCGAAGGGGAGGCTGACCGCGCAGGAAAGGCAGCAGATCGTGCAGGATTTGGCCGAGGTCGAATCGATGCAGCAGCCGAGTGTTTGTCAGGATTTGCCTGTCAAGGCTGTGCAGCAAAAGAAAGGCGAGCGGACGGCGCTGGCGTCTTCCACGCAGAACAACATTGTCAAGGCGCAAGCCAGCTCAGCGGGTGAGAAAGATTCGGTGAAGGCGACGTTCGAGCTGGCGCCACCAGCTCCTCGTAAGCCTCGCTATACCAACTACGCCGTGCCCACCACCGGTCAAGTGGTACATTTCATCACACTAGCCATCAAATCTCTGCTCCCACGCGATCTATTCGGCTCGCTGCACAACCAAAAGCTGGTCCTCGCAACCATCGGAGACTTTGTGCGACTTCGACGCTACGAAACCTTCAACCTGCACCAGATCGCGCAATCCTTCCGATTCACAGACGTCGACTGGGCCTTACCTCCCAGTGCGGTGAAATGCAATCGCCGCCTGACACGTCAAGAATCAGAGTCTCGGAAGAAGCTCGTCCTCGAATTGCTGTATTGGCTCTTTGACGGACTGGTGATCCCGCTTCTTCGCACCACCTTCTACATCACCGAGACTGCCGCGTATCGAAACAAAGTCTTGTACTTTCGTCAGGACGACTGGCACGTTCTCTCACGACCTGTACTGGGTCAGCTGAAGGAGTCGATCTTTGAACCGCTGACCAGAGCCGAAGCGCTGTCGATGATGTCTTCGCGCAAATTGGGGTATTCGCACGTAAGACTCTTGCCAAAGGAGACGGGAGTCAGGCCGATCGTAAACCTCAGACGTCGTAGTACGAAACAGGTCCATACGGATCAGCAGGGTGCATCGCAGGAGGCGAGTGGGAAGGCGAAGAAGCTGAAGTCGAGCGCTGCGCTGGCAAAGCAGAGGAAGGAATCGCTGATATTGGGACAGTCGATCAACTATATCTTGCAGTCGGTGTTTCACGTGTTGACGTATGAAAAGGGTCGGATGCTGAGCAGTGGAGGTGATGACGAAGGTCATAGCAGGGATTGGAGGGACGAGGAGGACGTTGGTATCGATATGCTTTCGAGCTCGGTGTTTGGGCCCAACGAAATCTACACACGGCTGAAGACGTTCAAGCAGCGGTTGACGCAGGACCAGCCCGGAAAGAAGCTGTACTTTATCAAAGTCGATGTGAGGTGCGCGTTCGACTCTATCGATCAGGGCAAGTTGCTCGAGATCATCGAAAAGATCCTTTGCAAGGTTGGGACCGACGAAGCAGAAGGATATCGTATTCATCGGTTTGCAAAAGTCATGCCTTCCTCTACGATTCACGATGCCAAGACCCAACAACCAACCACTGGTCCTTCGAAAGCGACCAAAAGGGAATTCGTGCGGCTGGCACGACCCGACACGGAACACATTGACTTTTTCTCCCTCGCCTCGTCCCTCGCCGTCGCCCTCCATGACGTGGTCTTTATCGACTCTGTCACCTACCGATACGAGTCCACCTCGCTCATTCTCAAACTTTTGCGTCAGCACATCACGGAGAATCTCATCAAGATCGGACGCGAGTTCTACCGACAACGAGTGGGCATCCCCCAAGGGTCGAGTCTGTCCACCCTGCTGTGCAGCTTCTTCTATGCCGATATGGAGTCACGAGACCCCTTTTTGAGCAGTCTACGCTCGGATTCTCGAAGGAATATGTTGATGCGATACACGGACGACTTCCTCCTGGTGACGACGAGCAAGAGAACCGCGAAGAAATTCTACCAAGTGATGCGCAAAGGTCACCCCGAATACGGATGTTTCATCAGCCCCGAAAAGACTCTCGCGAACTTCGATCTCGTCGACCCGGACACTTCCACCACTCCGCTCATCCCACGCATCTACACCACCGAATTTCCATGGTGCGGTCTCACCATGAACACCAAAACCCTCTCGGTATCCACCGATCTCACCCGGTATAAAGGTCTCGACATGCGCGACACTTTGACGGTGGAATACAGTCGAAAACCCGGTCTCGCTCTGGTGGAGAAGATGATCCAATCCGTAAAATCACGCTGTCACATCCTGTTCACAGACACGGCGTTGAACGGGGATCGGAAAGTGTACGGAAACGTCTACTCGTGTTTCCTGGTGGCAGCGGTGAAGTTCGAAGCGTATCTGTGGGAGCTGAAACGGTTCAGGGTGAGATTTGAAGCGGAGTTTCTGTGGAGAGCGATACAGAAGCTGGTGGGATTTACGGGAAGATACATTGGGAGCAGAGCTGGGAGTGCGAAGGCGAAGTTTCAGGCGAAAGGTGAAAAGGGTGGAGGAGGCAGGAAGAGGAGAAGGAGTGGGAGGTGGAAGGTCAGCTGTACGGTGAGACCGCATTACGTGCATTGGCTGGGATACGCAGCGTTCTTGACGGTGCTCAATAGGTGGGGTAGTGGCAAGCCTCGTGGTTTGGACAGAGAGACAAGACAGGCGTTGGTGTGGATGATCGAGACGTGTACGAGACAGCCTTCGTTCTCCGTTGCGCGGACCAGACTTGCTTCGGTGGCTGCGAGGACATTGAGAGAGGCACAAGAGTCGTTGTCCATCTGATAGGTTGCAATCATGAACAGTCGATGATCGTATAGACTAGGTGGAAGCTCGTTTGCATTGTGTGCATCGTCATCATCGACGTCGTTAGTTTTTCGAACATGTCAGATCGAGTCCACGCGCGCAATTCCTCAATTTCTGCCAGTCCGGTGCACGTCCACGCTGACGCTGCGCTACGCCCGCGGAGACCAACACTTTCTTCTTGGCTCACCTCCACCAACAACCAATGCCCTATATAAACAACACCACCTTCTTGTCAGCTTCAGCTCGGGTCGCAGCAAGCCCTTACTGAAGACATGCAAGCATGGGAGGGTGCGGGTCTGATGGGTCCTCGATCGACGCTAGCTTGACCGAGCAGGAAGCGGCGCTTCGGCAAAGGCTGGCTGCGCGTAGCGAGCGTGCGTTAGGTCAGGATGAAGTGGGAGGTTCACAGGGTACGAAGCGGAAGCTGAGAGAGGATGATTCGGATGAAATGGAGGGGGAGGGCTCGGGCGGCGCAGTAAGAGGTGTGTCGCCGACGTCTAGGAGCGAATCCCGATCAGCGCCAGCACAGAGCACCACACCGGAACCGTATCAAAGAGCACCGACATGGTCGGCCTTGCGTCGTTCCAACCATCCTCCCATCGCACCATCTCGTAGCATCTACAGCTACGAGCGTCTCAATCAAATCCAGGAAGGTACCTACGGCGTCGTCTTCCGTGCACGACCGCGCGAACCTCTCTCACCTCCTGGACCCTCTTCAGTCGCGGTCAAGAAACTCAAACTACCACCCAGCTCTCTCCACTCTGGATTCCCCATCACCTCTCTCCGCGAGATCTCCACCCTCTCCGCCTCCCGCGATCACCCGCACATCGTCACACTTCACGAAGTGTGCATCGGCAACACCATCGATCAGATCTTCCTTGTGCTGGAATTCATGGAGCACGACCTGAAAACCCTGCTCACCTCCATGCACAGGTCCGCTGGAACCGGATTCGCTCCGAGCGAGATCAAGACGTTGATGTTCCAGCTGTGCGAGGCGGTGGCGGGGCTGCATGATGGGTGGGTGGTGCATAGGGATTTGAAGAGCAGCAATCTGTTGATGGATAATCGGGGGAGGTTGAAAGTGGGAGATTTCGGGTTGGCGAGGCGGTTCGGGGATCCGATTGATGGGTGGCGTGGAGCGGGTGAAAGAGCAGAAGCGGGTGGACAGAAGAGACAGGAGGGGGAGGAGCTTGGGGATGGGGGAATGACCGATCTCGTGTGTACACTCTGGTATCGTGCACCCGAACTCCTCCACCTCAACCTCATCCACCAATCCCGCGAATCTTCCCCTTCCACAAAACCACCTTCCACTTCCACCTCCTCTCATCCTCTGTCCAAACTTCACTCCAATGCATCCACCACAGCACCACCACCACCACCTTCACTTCCACTCTACGACGAGAAAATCGACATGTGGAGCATAGGCTGCATCTTTGCCGAGCTCCTGCTCACCTCCACCGCCGGCGCCGGGCTATTTCAAGGCAAAGACGAAGCCGACCAACTTCGAAAGATCGAAAGCATACTCGGCCGACCAAACACCACCATCTGGCCCGACCTGCCTCTCTGGTCAGGCGTCCTCGCTGCTCAACCTCAACCCTCCAACCCCTCCAGCTCAGCCCTGCGTCGAGAAGAACATCGCATCAAACAAAACCTCACCTCCGCCTTTCACCCTACCAAACTCACACCGGCAACCCTCGACCTCCTCTTCCACCTGCTACATTGGGATCCCAAGCAGAGGATTTCCGCAAAAGCTGCGCTGAAGCACGAGTACTTCACGAGGGAGAAACCAACAATGGCTCATCCCGATAGCTTTGGTAGTTTTCCGAGCAGTGCTGCTGGTGAAAAGCAGGTCGATACGCCGAGTGCGCCGGACAGACGTGGATTGGGCGCGGGGCGGAAGGCGTCAGCGGCGGAAGTGAGGGCTGGGAAACAGTACAAGATGGAGTTTGATTTCACCGGATGAAGTCAATTGGAACACAGCATGGCATGGCATGATATCACAGTTTTGTAATGTACTTTTATCACCTCCTTAACTTTGACTTTTGCTTTCGCATCGCGTCCCAGCCCGAGGCTGCTCCCAGCGTGTATGAAATGGTGACCGGTCAGGTGGAGTTAACCATCTTGAGCAAACTGTCGAAGACACACGGCGAAATGGGCAGACAGTATGTTCAGCTTTCCACGTCTCCACGCGTAACTGAACGCGCAGTATAACTCACCATGGGTACATCGTAATAGTTGGGATGCTCGCCAATCCTTTCCGGACCCCAATATTGCAGGTACGGAATCGGCCACCAGGTGATTGGGACGAGAGAGCTATGGGGGTGGAGGGCTAACAAGGCATGGTCGTGGTTGAAGTAGAGATGGGGCGGGGGACGTGGAGGCAGCGCGTGCAATGCTGGTACTGTTGCGTAGGGTATAGTCGAGTGGGGTGGCAGAGGTGGTGGTGTGCCAGAGACCTCGCCAGGTACGATCGGGAAAGGATACCATGCATAGATCAACTCTGGTACATGGCTGGGATGGCCGAGGCTGTCGATGCCCTGAAAGCGTAGGTCCTGGTGATGCAGCGGGGTCGTCGGACTGGCAGGGACCGAAGCACCGCTCGACTGCTGCTGGTGATTTCCGGACTGGATGGTTTCATCGCCGAAAGAATCGGAGACGAGTGGTGGAGTGTTTTCGATGTCAGCCAAAGTCAGCGGCCAAGACTTGGAGCTGACAGCGGGAGCCTGAGGCTCGACGATCGTAGATGGAAGGCTGGCAACGTGCATCGTGAGACCATGATCGCCGTCAGCATTGGCAAAAGGCATCATGGGAGCGCTCAAAGGTGCGCGTGAATCAGTGCCTAGTGGCGCAATGATCACGGCTTGAGCGCGAGGAAGGCTCACAGCTGCCGTGGCTGCCGCCTGATCGGTGTAGCTCGTCAGCGACAATCTGTCTCTGTCCCAGTCCGCATTTACTTCTTCATCTTGCTGATACTGTGGATCATACGAGAGCCGAGGTTGATAGGTGCGAGATCGCGGCCAAAAGCCTCGGGATTTACCTGCGCCGCGATGCGATCTGCGTGTAGCAGCCTGCTGGTTGTAGTGATGTCCGCCTCGGCCACGACCAGCCTGCTGATGATACGCGGGAAGCGTCTGCTGTTCGTCGGGCACCGAATCCCAACTCGAGTGCCGGTCATGATACTGCTGACGAGACTGCGAGAATGCATATGAAGAGCTGCTATCTTGCCCGTTGCTTCCTCGTGAATGGCCGTATGTACCGCGAGAAGAGCGGGGGTAGCCCGCTCTTCCTCTCGTCCTGCCACCGCCGCTCATGCCTCGTCCTCGTCCGCCTCCCCCTCGTTGGATCATGCCATCCCAAGTAGAAGAGCACAACGTGGACGAGCTCAATGTAGATGAGCGCAACGTAGACGGACCCAAAGTTGAAGACGTCACCATTGGCACGTTGCACTCGGGCCGACTGGGCAAGCTTGCGGCGCTGGGAGTAGCAGGAGCTGCCGCAGCATCTTCTGTTCGAGTGTCGTCCTTGGATCCCATGACGAACTTCACCTCCTCGGGTTGAGGCTCGAAATAAGCCGGAGAGGATGAGAGAGAAGGGTCGAAGGCTGTGTACGGACGCAATTGGGGTTCAAGGAGGCCATTTATTTGGATGCAACAGTCGCATGTGGACGTCGTAGTTCAGGAGATTGACTCCCGCAAGTCACTTGTTCGAGTTCTGCTTTCACGCAGGGGTATGAGGAGAGTCGGATCAGCAGATATGCTGCAGACTGACAGGAGAAGGGAGGAACGTAGAGTCGGGTGAGGAACACATGCGTCGCGGGGGTGATCAGCTTCGTGACAGCTCTCGCATGGGCGGATGCAGCGATCAACAGTCCAATCACGCCGTTCGGAACCACCGTTCACTTCGGAAAGCGACATGCGACAGCCAGAATGAGAAGGTTTCGGCTTGCATGGCCAATCTCACTTCATTTCACCTGGCTAGTAAGGAAAAAGTGGGTTCCGAACAAAGACGCAACATAGTGATGATTCGGCTACGCCGCGGTCGAATGAATGCAAGCTGTGCGAAGGCGGGCCTCCCAAATTGCGGATTCGAGTCGCAGAGCGTGCGAAGGAAAAAATCGCCGCTCAGTCAGCATCTGACTGGTCTGCGCCGGCACACCGCGATCGTCATCTTGGACCGTGCGAAAGAGCCCTTCGGCCTGATGACTGTAGAACCACCGTCGAAGGATCAGAACAACTGTCTCACACGTTCGTTGTACGCTAAGCCTGCCGAAGATCAAGTCACAGGTCGAGATCTGGTCGGTGAATTGGGTGATGAGTTGATCGATCCAAGTACATCAAAGTCAACGTAAAGCGACCGTTTGGATTAGAGTTGCCGTCTATCATGCAGAACACTGTGGGTTCGTAGAAGTTATGCAGAGTGAATTCGTGGGAGCTAAGCAGCAAATGAAAGCCAATTCGATCCAAAAGTGAAGAAGCGAAAATGGTATCTTGGCCAACGAGAGTATGATGAGGTCGTGACAGGTATGGAGGTCTGCGATGCGAGGCGATGTGAGGATCAAAGAGGAACCTTGATCTGGCCGTCTATCTCCTGCCTCCGCCGGTGACCCTGACGAATATGCGGAAGAGAGAGACGGTAAGAACGATGAGATAGGCGAGCAAGCTCACAAATACGAGTCCGATCAGAGAGCCTTGAAGTCTGCAAATGAACGGCTTGCGACTCGGATCGTTCAAGGGGCTTGGTCGATCCGCAGGCGTCTCACGAGGGCCCACGTACGGGCTGCCGTAGTTGACGCAGACGAGCGTCGACGTGAAGTAGTTGTCGAACGTCAACGAAAGCTCCGACGACCAGAGGCAGATGAAGATGAGCTCGACCACGGTGTATGACAACTTGGACTGCACCGTCCACAAGCCGATGGGACGTCCAAAGTACTCTAGCCAGATCTGGAAGCCGACGTGGATCAGACTCAGCGGAGCAAAGATGATGGCCACCAGCGGCGACGCGCCCACCGCATCGTTGGCGCCCTCGCTTTGAAGCACGATGAGCAGCTTGATGGCCACTGCCAGCGTTGCAGACGTGAAAGCGATGTTGATGAGGCGGAAGAGAAGCGGCACGAAAGGGTTGTGGATCAAGAAGTTCTTCCAAGCGGCGTACCACCCGTTTGTTCGCCCCTCGTTGGATCTGATCGTGCGTCCGGATTCCGTTCGTGGAAAGTAGCCAGCCGCATTCAACCCTCCGTGACCACGCTGTTCGGGTTTCCAGGGCGAAGCCCAACCAGGTGTCGCAGGCTGGTGGACGGTAAACACATCTGGGTTCTCTACTCGAGCTTTGAAGGACATGGTCGGGTACTCTGGCTCGTGGTCAGGCTTCTGCTGCTTCTCCAAGTCGCGATCGTCGGCGCGAGTCGTGGAAGTTCCATCCGGTGACGGCGATGCCTGACGCTGCTGGTCGGTGAAAGGTGCTGCGCGCTCGCCGGTGCCAAACTTGGATGGCGACGTGACTTTGGGCGACTGTGCAGCGCCATGCTGCTTGTTGTTGAGCAGCCCACTCGCACCCAGACCTGCCGCCATACCGTTCCACACGCCTGCACCGAAGCCATAGCCGTGATGCGGCTCGTCTCGCTCCCTGCTTGTGCGCTCCTGCATCTCGATGTCGCTGCTGTCGCCGCTGCTGCTCGCGTCGGAACGCGCCGAGTCCGAGTTGGAGTTTTGACGCTGCTGTTTCTTGGCGCTCTGACCGTCTTTGCGATTTCGATTCGCCTTGTTGCTGGCTGTGATGTTGTCTTGCGACTCGGACTTCATCCTCTCGTGGTGGAACGCCATGCGCAGATGATGCTCGTGTAGACGCGAGCGGTACTTTTGCGGCAGTGTGAACGTCCACCACCGGTCGGGCGATGTGCTTTGGGCCTCCTGGGCCTCTGCTTGCTCGACTGCTTCCGGCGACACGGCGCGGTCGAAAGCCGTGCTGGACTTGCCAAAAATCTGTCCCTTGTCCTGCGTCGAGGTGCCCTGTTGAGTGCGTTCCTCGTTCCCCAACTCGGCAGCTGGAAGACTGAGCGACTCGATTTCGCGCAAGGACCTGGGAATGCTGTGAGCTTGCGGACTGGCCATGGGCGAATGAGGTGGGCTTGGAGACTCGTCGCGCGCCCAGACGGGTACGGTGACGATGGTGGGATTCGCTCTGCTTCTCCTGGTGCCTTTCGCACTGTGTGAGCGAGGCTCCTTCTTGGTGGAGCTGCTGGCCGCCGATGCACGACTGGACAAGCGGTGATGACGATGACTTGAGGCATGGGATTGCCTATTGGCGGCGTCTTTCCTGCCATGCAGCGATGCTTTTGAGCCGGCGGAGGGGGATGCGGTTAGAAAGTGGGAGCCGGCAGCTGGCGACGACGGTAAAGAAGCGTTAGCGCCTCTCCGTTGATTTGAGGGAGTAGCTTGCAAGCTCTGCTCGTCGAACTGGACAGAAGGCGCCATGACGCTGCCAGGCCTGCTGTGAGGTTCGCCCGGGTTGCGACTGGGTCCGGCATCGTTTCTGGAAGCCGCAACCGTTGTGGACGACGATGGCTGCTCCGTGTCTCTGGATGACTGCTTGTCTGCTGATGTTGCTTCAGATCGTCCAATGAGACCATCGAGGTTCAATGCCGGGGCGAGACCAGAGAGTATCCCGGACGAGTGTGAACCGTCCTCGGACGACATGTTGCTGGTTGTCGCAACTCGTAGTCCACTACTTCGTTGTCGGGTCGAACGTCGAGAGCTTGTTGCAGATGCCAGGTCCGAGTTGCGTCCACGCTCGCGAGTCAGATGAAGCGGGGCGGATGTGGATGGCTGGCTGGCTGGCTGACCGACTGACGACCCGTCGTGGGCGATTGTGGTACCAGCGAGCTTGTGCTCAACGTTGACAAGGGCGGCAGTGGGAGACTGGAAGGTGGTGAGAAGATAGGGGATGAAGGAACGTGCAAGCGGCAGAGACAAGTCGATGACGAGGTGGGATATTTAGGAAATGGAAAATAACAAATAGAAGTAAGCAGCACAGCCGAACGCAGCAGCATTTCAGTTCGCCAAAACAGAACATGCAGCCCCAGCTCACTTGCGCAGAACACAGGCGGAGTCAACGCCAAGACATTTGTTCTCGTCTGAGGCCCTTCCATCTTGCACATCCCCGCACACCCTCGACTGATTTTCCTTGAGTTTCAGTGCCTCCCACAGTCGCACGACAACTGTCGTCGGTCACATTCTGTAAGGTCCTCTAAAGTGAGAGCTATCGGTTTCTTCCGATGGCAAGTTGCGTCAAGTGCAGGCTTCAGATGTACGGCATCGAATGACAGTACTTACAGCTCTGTTTTCCGATATGTCTGTTTTATTAATATGCTCTATTTAGCGAATTTATCGTCAGCTTTCTGACAGTCGGTGGTGAGGCCTCGATTCACTGACGCGGCTGTGAACTCACACTCGCAGACAGGGGCAAAAATATCCCGATTTATTAATTATAAAAATAAGTGTACTCGAGAGATAATTGACGTAATGGAAGAGGCAGCCAGCAGCACGTGTCTCTGGGCGACAGCTCCTCGAAGCCTAGCGCTCATCATCGATGCAATGTGCTGAATCTTGCCATGCCTTGAGCCTCAACGTTGCACATTTCATCGTTGCACACTCTGAGCTCAGGCAACGAAAGCAACGTTGCACTCAAAGCACCGCATCCGTTGCGAAAGTGAGCGAGCTTCTGATAGGCACATCTTGAAAAGCTCGTAAGTTTTTGCAGAATCTGAACGAGCGTACAGGTGTATACAGAGAACCGGGACCATGTAACGAGTCTGTTGTTGTATGTATGTTTGAGAGAGATACCAAATGATAACGAATCAAGGGAACAAAGAGACGGCTCGCACCGTGTGAACCAAAGAAGCGAAAGTCGAAGACAAACGAATATCGAGAACATGCCATGATGGTGTCGAGATGCGAAAGTCGAGCATGTCGATCTGCGCGACCAGAAGCGTCATCCATCAGGCGAAAGGGGAAGGGAAGAAAGAGGGAACGGGGAAGGATAACAGTCTGGAGTATGCTGAGTCCTCCTCGCCCTCGTACGTCGACATCGAGCACAAGGGCGGAGGACAAGGTGGACAGATGATGCGTAACGATGATGTCGCCGCAGCGTCCTTTTGAGAAGTGAGGCAGTGGAGCTTAGCCGGACCGCAGCATTAGACGGCGACAGGATTCGACTGCACGACCGCCGCAAAGTCGAGCATCGGGGCAGCCGAAGACGACTGCTTGGGAGCAGCAGCAGCGCCATTGTTCTTGGCCTCGGCCTCGCGCGTAGAGGTGCTGCCCTCCTTGCTTTCGTCGGATGATGCGGCAGCGCCAGTGGTCTTGTCGTCAGCTGCAGGCGCCTCGGTCTCCTTGACAGACTCAGGCTGCTTCTTGACGGGCGCAGGCGCCGACAGAATGGCCGAAAAGTTTGGCCTGGCCATACCGTTGGCGCTGGGGGTCGATGAGGCCGCGGCAGCCTGACCGTTTGAGAGAGCGGGGAAGTCGGCTGCGCTGGGTAGACGCTGCTGCGTAACGGGCTTCTTCTGTCCGGCGCCGTTCTGACCAGCCTGGCCGTTGGGTCGACCGTTACTGTTTTGGTTGGCGCGCGGGCGAGCACCATTCTGCTGGTTCTGGTGACCTTTTCCGCCGCCCTGGACGCCATTGGGCTGAGGTTTGGCACTGTTTTGGCGATTGCCAGCAACGTGACCGTTGGCATTGCCGTTGACAGTGGGCTTGGACGGGATCGACGCAGGGATGCGGTCGCCGTTGGTGGAAGCGGCCGCGGCAGGCTTGGCTTCATCCGACTTGCCGGCAGCAACCGGAGCGGCAGCACGCTTGCCGTTGGCAGCGCTGTCAACCTTGGAATCGCTCTTGTTTGCTGCGTTACCGTTCGAGCTCGTTGTCTTTGGCACCTGAGTGGAAGCAGCGCCTGTGCTTGCGGGCTTGGCTGTGTTGTTTTGCTCTTTCTGCGTCGCGGACGCAGTCTTGGGGGAGGCAGTGGGGATGTTGACGTTGGCTGCTGTTTCCGTCGAAGCAGGCTTGTCGGCCTCGTTCTTGTCGGCGGCGCTGATGGTAGTCTGAGCCGAAGCCGGGGATGTCGACACCGTGACGTTGGTGGGAGCAGCGGGAAGACCATTGCTTTCGTTGTTGACGGGTGTGCTGGAGTGAGCAGCGCTGGTGCCGTTGGCCATCGAGCCTACAGTTGGAGCGCGGGCGCTCTTGGCGGCAAGCGCGCGGTTGATGGCGCGAGCTGCCTCGATAGAGTGGCTCGAACGGCCGGCGTTAGGCCCGCGCATGTCGGTGCCATCGGGCAGAATGTGCGGGAAGCGGCAGTCCTCGCCGTGCTTGCATGCGGAGCGAGCAAAGAAGTGGCAGGCGGGACGCTCAGTGGAGCGCTTACCAAACTCGGCTCGCGAGCCGAAGCTGCCACCCATGGATGCGCCGCCTCGCCTGGCGCCCTTGTTGCCGCGGTTGAAAGTCTGCGAGCCGCTGAGGATGCCGCCGTCGATGCCGACGACGCCGTTCTGTGCGCCAGGAGCAGGCTGGAAGGGTGCTGCGTGGTGAGCCATGAAGGCGCTGAAGGATGTGGGGGTGTTGTTGGAAGCGCTGGCTTCTGGCGAAGACTTTACTGGCTCGGTGTCAATGACGGTTGCCTCGGCAGTGGGCGCTGCGCTGGTAGTGTCGTCACCATCGACGGGGACGGGGACGACGGAGGCGCCTTCAATCTCAGCGGCGACCTGCTGCTGGCCGTCGTTCGAGGCAGATTCAGGCTCGCCCTGCACCGCCTGATTCGGCTCGAAGGGTTGGCGCGATTGCGCAGCAAAGTGGTTGGCGTAGGCATCGCCGTCGTTCGAGTGCGGTGCGTGTGCCACGTGATGAGGAGGCAGCATGTGGACCGGCATGGGAACGCCGGCGTGGGTGTATTGGATAGGCATGGGGGGCGCCATCGAGTAGAAATGCTGCGGTGGGCCGTAAGCAGGGTAGCCGTAAGCGTGGGACTGGTAGAACATGGGGGCTTGACCGGGCGACACGGGACCTGCGTTGGGTGATGATGCTGGCATGGCGACAGGGTGAGCAAACATGCACTTGTCACCGTATCGGCAGTTGGGGAAGAAGCGGCACGGAATCATCTTGGCGACTTCAGGAGGGGGAAGGCTGCCAGAGGCGCTGTCCTTGTGCGAATGACCGCGGTGCTCGGGGTTGTGGGATGGGTCGAAGAAGGCGTGCTGAGGCTGGAAGGGGTAGATGGGTTGGGACATGGGGTGGTGGAGGGCATGCTGCTGGTGCATGGATGCGTCCATCTGGCCCTGGTAGGCGGGAGGTTGCACGTAGCTGACAGTGCCATCTGGGAGCTGCTTGCCGCCGTGCGAGTCGATGACGGGTGCGCTCTGGAAAGCGACGGACTGAGTGTGCTGCAAGGCGTTGTTGATGACGGAAGCGAGCTCCTGGTTGTGCTTGAGGGCGTCGTCCTGGGCCACCTCGACAGCATTGGCGCCCTTGGCAAGAAGCTGGGAAACCACGTCGACGTGGTTGCCTCGAACGGCGTGTTGAAGGGCAGTGAGACCGGTGTCGTCGCGGGCGTCAATGTCGAGAGAAGGCTCCTCGAGGAGCGAGCTGACGAGGTCAACGTTGCCTTCTTGAGACGCCTGGAAGAGGGTAGCGGTCATGATGGGCGTGAGAGTAGATATGAAAGATGCAGATGGGAAGGGCACACCTAGGCCTCGCTCCCACTGCTCTTGCTGGATTGGAGTGGACTACAGCGAGCTGCAAATCTTGACTTGGGTTTTGCCTGACGAGCGTCGATATGAGTCAGAGCAGGCAGAAAAGTGCGATTCCTGATGCTGGTCGAGTGCTGTTCGAGGACACAGTCAAGATCGTAGGAAAGGCGAAGGAAGTTTGGCAGACAATCCGATGCTGCGACGAGCTGATGCGACGAGCTGATGCGACGATAGACCGAACTGGAGGGGAAGAGAATAGCGCCGCCCTGATCGAAGGAGAGCTGTGGAACGGAAGCTGAAAATATTGAGGAAAGAACAAGACAGCCGCAAAGGAGAGAAAAGAGAGGGAGAGAGCCGCAAGGAGAGGAACGATGCAGCTTGCGAGGATGGGATGAGCTCGAAAGTAGAGACAAAGATGAGGATGTAGGGCCGAGGCAGAGGATGACGAGGAGGTTGACACGCGAAGAGTATGGCTTGAGTGGTCTGACGACAGCAGCAGCAGCAGCAGCAGCAGCAGCAGCAGCAGGAAGAAGATCTTCTCGTCGGTCTTCCAGCGCCTTTCTTTTGTTTTTGGGGCCAGGAGAAGAATGAAAAAGCTTTGAGTGCACTCTGGTTGGCAGGGGTGCGGGTCGCTTTCAATATTCAGCTTTCTTCAGCTCGACATGCTCAACTTTTTCCCTCCGCTTCCTCGCTTGTGCAGATCAATTTTTTTTTTACCCTTCTCCCGCTCTTAATCCAGTTCTTCTTCCTGTGTAAATTTCTTCTCGCCGGCTTGCTGCAAAATTTAGCTCGCAGCACACCGCGATGCGAGGCTACTTCGGTTGGAGCGAGGCATCGGAAGCCGTTAGAGTTCTGCGGCAGCGTGCTCGGACGAAAGTACCCGAACAAATATCAACATGGCCTTGCTGCTGACTCTTCTCTACCGGCAACCGGCAACGCGAGCTGGCGACGACGTAACAGCGACAAAGAGAAATTGCAAGTATGGCAGGTCTGAGGAGCACGCACAGGCTTCTTCCAATCGTGCGTTGAGTCACACATTCCATCAGCTGATATATCGACTCGTGCTGTTGTTCCGTTCCCGGATAGTATGGTTTCGTAGTTTCCAGAAACGATTAATCACGAGAGGAAAAAGGCGATGGGAAAAAGAGGGTGAGAAAAGGACCCTTTTTTCCTCTACTCTGGCTAGGTGAGCGGATCGTCCGACCGAGACCTTGCCTGCCTTCAGGAGCGATCCCTGTCTCGCACGGCTGTGTGTTGTGTCTCGTTGAACTGACTTATTTCTTCCAATCCTTCTCACCTGCAACGCTCGCTGCAGCACGCAGACGTCCTCCTCAAACTGCTACCTTACGTCTCCCCATCAACTTCAAAGCAGCTACAGGATCTGCGTCTCATCAACGACCTCCAAGGGCTTGCCAGTCAACGACCACATTAGGCCCCAGCGCAGGTGGCTCTACAAGTTATTCATGCCGAGGTAGCGTCGCATCGTCACACAGCAACGACGTCGAGGCGAGTGCTCAACCATGGTGTTGTGTGGCTACAGTCGGCGGCACCTTGTGCCTGTCGCTCGAGACCTGGCACAAGGCACCTCAACAACACGATCGATCGCTACATCCCGAGTCGCGACGATCACGACGCAATCTGCTGCGACTCGAGCAGACCTGCCTCATCAGAGCAGCGCCAACAAGGGCGCCGATCATCAGCGTCACGACAGCTGGTCCTTCTTCTTTCCCGATCACCTTTCATGGGCGCAGAGGCCACCGCCAGCATCGCGAGCCAGGCATCCGCTGGTCAAGAAGCTCATTTCAGAGATCTATAGCACCTCTCGCGCTCCATCCGCCAACCGTGTCTGGAAGGCCTACACGGACTTAAAAGAGTCGTATGATGCCAGCTCGACAGCCTCTCCTTCTTCCGCATCGACCTCTCTGCTTTCTCAACTCGAGCCAGCCCACCTGCAACATGTTCTGCGCTCCATCGACCCTTCCGTAGCCAAGACTAGGAAGCTTTCTCGCGCCGAGGGCAAGCGTCGACAGAGCCTGCGGCAGCAGCAGTCCTTCTTAGCCTCCGGCAGCATCCCGTCAAAGATCCTGCTAGTAGAAGCACACAACGCTCGACATTCGGGCAAGATCTTCGATGCGCAGCATCCTGTGCGCGAGTACATGCGTCGTGTACAGATCATCTTCAGAGACATGAGGCTTCATTCTTCCATCGTTCGCACCACTAGCTCTGCCGTTGAAGCTCTGCCCAGTCTCGCAGACTACAACCACGTCCTCTCACGTCTCGCCTCTGGCGGCCATATCGGACCCATGTCATCTATCTGGAACGAAATCGCCGGCGCTTCTTCTAGGTCAGGGTCCGTTGGCCTGCAACCCAACATCCACACGTACAGAGAGCTCATGATCGGGCTCAGCCGACATGCCACCGAGCAGATTGAAAGGGTGCAGAAGGGCGAAGCCTCCAAGCTCTTTGATTATTCGGGCAAACGAAGGGAGCTCGACAGATCGGCCAGAGCTGCCGCAACGGGCATGGCAAGGTTCGGACAGGTCTTGGCTCCTTCTGCGAGAGCTGCAGCCATCTTGGCAGCGCTTCGCACCATGGCTCTTCTCAAGGATATGAGGGATCACGCAGTAACGCCCAACCAGATCACGCTCGATTTTGCGGCCAGGACACTAAGGCTTGCGGGACACATCGATGGCATTCACTTGCTCATGCAACAAGCCTACGGCATCGATCTCAGCACCCTCGATTCGGCGGACGCTGCGCAGAAGCAACAGCAAGGCCCTGCTCCTACAACGCACACACTCAACACCATCCTCATGGCGCTTGGCGAGCAGGCCAGTGTGCCGGAGATGGTATCGACCTTCGAGACCCTGGCCAAGCCGCTTCCAGTGAAGACGTCCGATGCAGACGCCGCTGCTTCCGCCGAGGGTGTTTTTGCGACCAATTGGAAAGACATCTTCAACAGCATGCGGAATCGCGAGGCCGAGGTCGCGCAGCTGGGCAACAACGCCGAAGAGTCTAACATCCCAGAAGTGTTTGCTCCTACCTATCCGCATCGCATCTGTCCCAACACAAAAACGTTCGAGATCCTCCTGCGCCACTGCTGCGTTGAGGTGGACCCACTTCGGTCCCCCGTGGCTCTGAAGACGGAATCCAACAACAGCTCTGTGGCCACGCTTGCCCGGGAAGCTACCGAGTCGGCTCTTGCCGAGATGCAAGACGGTGGACGGCGTGCCGCTGAAATGGAGCGCAGGACGAAAGGCGCTTACGCCTTGTTTGCAAAGAGTCTTCTGTCCGAAGCCTTGGACAGATCGAATGACCTTTTGCGCGTCACCGCTCGAAATCTCGGCATTAGCTACGAGCGTGTGGAACAGACGCATTTGGCGACCGACTCTGCACACGATACTGCTGCTGAAGGAGCCGTCGACGCGGCCGATTCCCTGCCGCGTCCGGAATACCTGCGTTTCTCGGTAACGCATGGCCGAGCGATGGATGTCGACTTTCTGCCGATCCTCGAGCCACCTCATTTCTCCATCACCGATACCATGGTCGAGCCGTTCATCTCGCTCGCATCTGCGCGCAAGAACATGGGCGAGCTGCGCTGGATCCGTGCCATGCTATCCAAAGCTTTGGAGAACAAGATCGCAGAAGCCCAGATGATCGCCACAGCATGGCAAGTCTACAGTGCGCGCTATTCCAAGGCGCGCCAACTCGCATCGAGGCAAGACGCAGACAGCCCGTCTGCCTCTGATGAACTTCAAGACTTCGCGCCTCTGCAGCTCAACGACCAAAAGCCTGGTGAGATCTTTGCCTTCCTCAATCGATTGCGCCAACAGCATCGTTTGGCTCACAAACAGGCGCAAGCTCTGGAGCAGGTGCTTTACGACAAACTCGACGAGCGTCTGCGTGGTCTCGCGACGGCTAGAAATGCCAGGCAGTGGCAGCGAGCACGCGCACACCGAGAAGAACGGCTTCGAGCCGAGAAGCAGCGGCTCGAAGATGAAGAGCGCGAGATGGAACGCAAAGCGCAGGCGGCTGAAGCCCGAAGGCTCAGAGCGCTGCAGAAGGAGCAGCAGGAGGCTCAACAGGCTTCCACCGATCACGCTCGTTCCCACATAGAAATCGCCTCGACTGCATCGGCGTAGGAGATTCAGCTACAACCTTTCGTCAATCGAGACATTCAACTATTGAGATTTCATTCGTGGATCATACCAGAAACGGTACCGGTTTGAAAGCAAGTGATTGTGAGCTAGTGATTGAAAGCATGCGCTCAAGACTGAGGTGTGCCAGGCTGCTCAGAGCCGCTGCGCACTCAAGAAGAAGCGAAAGGGTCCGATTTTGCCCACTCTGAACTCCGTCGCGTGTCAATTCAGAGTTGACGTGTAACACGGCTTCGGAAAATCCGTCAACGCACCGGCCACTTGGAGCGGTTTTCGGTGACCTGCAGCTGCTTTGCTGTTCTTCTCAACCAACAAGGTGCTCGACGCTGCTCTCCACCGTCACTCATCTTCGACCTCGGCACATTTGGGCTCTGATCAACGGCTTCACCAACCTTGCGCACTGCTTCGCGACTACTGATGGTCTCAATCGTTTCAAGATCACTTTGATCTCTTCACGTCAGCCGAGAAGAGTCCGGTGAAGCTACCTATCCTCCAAAACGATGGCCGATGCAGAAGCGGCCGAGCGAGCCGCAAAGGCAGCTCGTGCCAGAGCCAAGCTGAAAAAGCATCAAGCGCAGAAGAAGGCTGCTGCAGAAGCCGAAGCCGGCGCAACCGCTAGCCACGCCGCCAGCAAAGACGAAGATAATACTCTGCCAGCAGACCAGAATGGTACGGCAACGCCAGATGAGGCTGCATCCACGACACAAGCTGTCGCGGCCGAGCCAACACTAGGGAAGGGCGAGGAAGCTGATCAGACCTCCGCAGTGGCTTCTGAGGACAGCGTACAGCTCCGAGAAGCTCAAAGCAAAATAGACACTCTGACCTCGCAACTCGAGACCACAATGTCTGATCTTAAGAAGGCGAACGACCAAGCGTCATCCCTCGAGAAACAGCTCAAAGAACAGCAGGAAGGAGCGCGTACGTCAGCAAAAGCGTCCGAAGACTCCAACAAGGCAGCAACGGAGGAACTCAAAAGCGATCTCCAACGACAACAGTCGAAGGCAGCGGAACTGGAGGGCGAGCTTCAGAAACAGCGCGATCTCCTGCAGACCGCACAGAAGGAAGCAGCTGAATCTAGAAAGGCAGTGTCCGACATGGAAGCTTCGCGAAAGAAAGACGCCAGCGAAGCAGCGGCGCTAAAGGAACGACTTTCTCGCATCGAAGCAGATCACGAGAAGGCTGAAGGTCGGTCTTCACAGCTCGAAAGCGATCTATTGGCTCTTCGACAGGCAAGCGACAAGGCGTCATCGGCTGCCAAAGATACGGCAGCAGAGCTGAAGAAAGCCCAAACTCGACTCAAGGACGCCGAAGCAAAAACCGCTTCGGACGCCGCACTTGCCAAGCAGCTTCAACAGGACAAGGCAAAGCTTGAAGGCGATGCGAAAGATCAGCTCAAGAAAGCAGACGACCTTCGGAAGACCGTCGATGCTCGGGAAGCGACCATCCAAGACCTGGAGAAGAAATTGTCCGACCCCAGCAAAGCCAAGCAGATCGATTCGCTCAAAGCGCAGGTGGCCGAAGCCGCAAAGAAGATCTCCTCGCTGGAAACCGACTTAAGTAAGAAGGACGAGAGCCTTAGGAGTATTTCTTCTGATGGCGAAAAACTGGCAAACCAGATCAAGGAGCTCGAACGGCAGGTGCAGACGTCGGCTACATCTAAAGCTGCCCTTGAAGCCAAGCTCACGGAGGGAACAGATCGCGAAGCAAAGACGAGCTCGATCCTGCAAGAGACTGTCTCAAAGCACACCGCGCTCGCTTCGCAGCATCAAGAACTCGAGAAGCAGCACACTCAGGCTCAAGCTGATATCCAAAACTGGAAAAAGAAAGCACAAGAGCACACCGAGTTGCTCGCGAAGAGCGACAAGGCTGCCGCGAGCGCCAAGGATCGCGCCGACACTGTCGAGAAGCAGCTCGCTGCGGTCAGGAAGGAGAAGGTTGAGCTCGACAGCTCCCTTTCTGACGCAAAGAAGCAGGTAGAGTCGCTCACTCGACAAAAGGTTGACCTAGAAAAGGCAAGGGCAGATGCCCTCAACACCTCCGAGAAGTCGGACAAAGAAAGGGCGAATGAGATCTTGGAGCTCAAGAGCAATGTGAGACAGCTTGAGGAGCAGGCCCAGGAGGCTCGCAAGACGGCGTCTCAGCTGCTCGAAGATGCAAAGTTGCAAGGCAGCAGATCTGCTCAGGAGGCGCAAGAGCTTACTGCTTCGCTGAAGGATTCGCGGGCCAAGCTGGAGGCATTAGAGACACAATCGAAAGAGCGCGACGGCCATCTCTCCACGGTACAGGCCAAGCAGAAGTCGACCGAAGAGGATCTCGCCTCTGCTACTCTGCAAGCACAGAAGGCGGCCAAAGAGCTTGACGAAGTCAAAGCCCGTTTGTCGTCCACTGACAAGGAGCGCATGGAGTCGCTCGACAAGATCAAGGGTCTCAACGACCAGCTAACGAAAGCACAAAGCGATAAAAAAATGCTCGACACGTCAGTCATTGAAGTCAAGGCCGAGCTTGAAGAGTCGAAGCAGCAAATCTCGTCCTTCCAGACAAAGGAGAAGGAATGGCTCGCGAAGCACAAGGAGCTTGAAAGCGCCAACTCAATGGTACTCGAGGATCTTGCTTCTATGCGGAAAGAGCTTGACACCCACAAGACTAGCAGTGCTGCAACGTCTGACAATCTCGCTGCGTTGACTGGCAAGCACGACCAGGCTCAGAAAGACTTGCAGCTAGCGCACCAGATGCTGCAAGAGGCAAGCGAGACGAGCTCCGATCGTGAGAAGCAAGTCGCTGACTTGACGTCCCAACTTGCTTCAGCCAAGGGCGAGACTGACAAGGAGCGAGAAACAGTCAAAAGCTTGCGGACCAAGTTCGACTCGGAAGTCAAGGCTCGCAAGCAGTCCGACGAAGCAACCAGGCGCACTCAGGCCGATCTTCAAGAGGCGACCAAGCGAGGCGATGATCTAGACAAGCGAATTCAATCTCTCACCTCGGAGCTTGACAGAGCCAAGTCTGACCATCAGCAGGCACAGTCGACCGCTGACGATCGACGGAGAGGCCTCGAGTCTGCCAAGAGCGAGGCCTCGAAGGTCAGCAGCGAGCTGAAGGAGACGAAAATCGCGCTCGCCGAGGCAGAGAAAGTATCGAAACAGCTTCAAGGCGAAAAGTCGGCGCTCGACCAAGCGCTCGCAAATGTGCGTGAGGAGAAGCAAGCCACCGAGAAGAAGCTTGAATTCCTCATCTCCGACCTCGAGAGCGCCCGAAATGACCACCGTGACGCTGTCAGCCAATCCGAGCAGCACAAAGCGACCTCCGAGACGAGAGAAAAGGAGCTCTCGCAGGTCAAGCAGAACGTGCAGGCTCACGAGGCGACGATCGGCGACCTTCGAGGCATACGTTCGAACCTCGAAAAGGCATCTGCGCAGCTGGCCGAGGAGAAGGCGAAAATACAGAAGCAGCTCGAATCGTCACAGACGGACGCGCAAACTCACAAGGCATCTGCGGAGGCCAAAGCCAAAGATATCAAAGCGCTGGAAGGCAAGCTGTCGACTGCTGAGGCAAGTCTGACCAAGGCGATGGATGAAGCAGCTAAGACCAAAATTCGTGGCGATGAACTGCAAAGCAAAGTTCAAGCTCAAGCCAAGGACCTTGAAGCGTCCAAGTCGGAAGCTCAGGCTCACAGAAAATCCGCGGATCAGAAGTCTCAGCAGATCAAGTCGTTGGATGCTAAGATTGCCGACACCGAAGCTAAGCTCGCCAAGTCTTCTGACGAGGTCGCTGCGGCACAAGCGAAGATCGCTTCACTACAGAAGGATGTCGAGGGCAAGGACGAGGAGCTCGAAGCGTCTCGTGACGAAGCAAAGGAGGCCAAGTCTTCCGTCGAAGCGCTCATGACGGATGTCACTGCGCTCAAAACCAAGCTCGAGGATTCGGATGCCAACTTGTCCAAGATCACGAAGGAAGCAGCTGCCTCCCAAGCCCAGAACAAGGAGCTTCAAAGCGCGCTCGAGTCGAAAGGCCAGGAGCTTGAAAGCAAGACCTCGGAAGCAGTTCAACACAAGTCTCAACGAGAGCAGCTCGCGCTGCAGCTCGAGACGGCTCAACGGGAGCTCTCTGCGCACCAAGCTAAGCTTCACGATACAGAGGCAGCTCATGCCGACCTTTCCAAGCAACACGAGCAACAGACAGCCGCTCACGAGGCCACGCAAGCTGAACTCAAACAACAGCGCTCGCTCGTCGCAAAGACGTCCAAGGATCACGAGCAGGCGCGGTTGGAGGCGAACGAGCTGTCCGAGACCCTGAGGGCTTTACAGAGCACACATGACGATGTGCAGCAGAATCTGCAGGACGTTGAGGCTCGGCACAAGACGCTTGTGGTTCAGCACGACAAGCAGAAGGAGGCAGCTGCGGTCCAGTCAAAGGAGCTCGAAGCGGCCAGGACTAAGGTCACCGATCTGGAATCCGAGCTATCAGCGTCCAAGGCCGCCCACGAGAAGGCGACGTCTGAGCTGGAGGACAAGACAGCGCTCATACGAGACCTCGAAAGCAAGCTCCTAACGTCGAGTGATGAGATCGAGAAGCTCACCGAACGAGCGACCAAGGGCGAGGCAGGACTCACAGCAAAGCAAGCAGAGTTCGACACGCTGCAGAAGCAATCCGAAGAGCAAAGTGAAAAGCTCAGGTCGCTCGAAAAAGACCTTGCAGCTGCTCAAAAGTCGTCCAGAGATGCAAGCCTGAAGCACAAGGCCGCTGTCACTGCTGCAAGCAAGCAGGTGGAAGCGCTGAAAGCAGAGCACGAGAAGGTGAAGGAACAGCATGCACAGGCTCTCGCCACTATGTCTGAGGAGCACGATAGTGCGGTCAAAGCTGCGGCGGAGGAGCTGGAGAGAGCTGAAACCGAACATGCCGAGCAGCTTGACAACGCTGAGAAGAAGCGCCGATCTGATGCTGACGCTGCGTCGAAGAGGTTAGAAGAGGTTCAGGCAGAACATGCCAAGGCCTCCGCGCAGGCGGCGGAAGAGCACAATGCTGCTGCGACGGCCGCTGAGGAGCGGATCGGAACTCTCCAGTCCGAGCACGAGGAGACGAAGGCAAAACACGCCGAGTTGACAGCGGCCAGCTCAAGAGAGCTGGATCAGCTGAAAGCGAACCTCCGCAAGGCCCACGAGGAGCACGAGAAGGCCAAGACCGAGCATGCAGACTCAGCATCGATCGCGTCCAAGAAGCTCGAACAGCTCCAGTCCGATTACAATGCAGCCAAGAAGCAGCACGCCGAATCGACGTCAAAAGCCGCCGAAGAGCACGAGGCATCCCTGGCTGCCGCTTCAGCTCGCTTCGAGGCCCTTCAAACTGAGCACGACAAGGCGAAGACCCAACACACCGAGGCGATGCGCCAGGCCTCCGCACAGCTCCAAGACCTCCAAGCTCAGCACAAAGCCTCTCAGACCGAACACAAATCAGCCATCCTCTCAGCAACACAGCGATTCGACGAGCTCAAATCCGCGTACGAAAAGTCGAAAGTCGATCACGCAGATGCGCTCGCTCGGGCCTCCTCAAAGCACAAGTCTGAAGCCGACGCTTTCGCAGCCGAACGAAGCGAGCTTTCCACCAAACTTGCATCTCTTCGCAAAACTCACGATGCAGCCGTCGCTTCCCACCGTTCTGCGCTCGAAGAAGCTTCGGCCAAAATGAATCAGGTTATCGCCGAACACAATGCGGAGCAGCAGGCGAGGGAGAAGGAGATCGCTGCGCTGAAGAAGTCGCTGGAGAAGGTAAAAGGGGAGAGGGATCAGCAGATGAAGGAGCATACCAAGGAGATGGTGGACTTGAGTCAAGGGTTGGAGGATGCCCACGCGAAGATCCGGGAGAAGGAGGTGGAGCTGAAGAGGCGCAATGAGGAGGCGGAGTCGGTGAAGGGTGAGTTGGATAAGGTGCAGAGGGATCTGAAAGCGAGAGTCGGTGAGGTTGATGGAACGAGACAGGAGGTGGATCGACTCAGCAGTGTCTTGGCGCAGAAGGAGAAGGCGCTGGCTCAGAATAACGAGCGTATCATGGCTATGCAGGGTGACCACGAGTTTGCCATTCGAGGCAAAGAAACCGATCTTGGTGCTTTGAAGAAGCAGCTCGATGAAGCTGTGGCGAGCCTAGCTTCGCAGAAAGCGGCGTTCAAGGCTGCTCAGGCCGAACATGCTTCTGTGCTGCAAGGCAAGGATAAGGATCTCGATGCTCTGAAGATACACATCGACGGAGCAAAGAACGACCTCGCTGCGCGAGAAGCAAAGATCGAGTCTCTCAAGGCAGACCACACGTCCGCGCTGGAAGGCAAAGACAAGGACATCGACGGCTTGAAGAAGGAAGTCGCTCAAATTCAGTCCGCTCTCACTTCACGCGACGAGAAGATCCTATCTCTCCAAACCGATCATGCTTCCGCACTCGAAGCCAGGTCCAAAGAGCTCGCATCTCGTGACGAAAGGATCAAAACGCTGCAGTCCGACCATGCTTCTGCCCTCGCCGCCAGTTCTCGACAACTCGAGACCCTGCAAAAGCAACTAGACGCCGCCTCCAGCGACCTCCTCTCCCGAGACGAGAAACTCTCCTCCCTCGAATCCTCCCACGCCGCCAAAGACCTCGAACTCTCTAACCTCCGCACCACCCAATCCCAAACCTCTACCACACTCTCCTCCGCCCAAACTTCCCTCTCCGCGCTGTCAGCCGAACTCAACACCCTCAAGGTCGAACTTTCCTCCACCAAGTCGAACCTCGCCCAACGTGTCGAGGAGAGCACGGCTTCTGCGTCGAAGCTCGAGAAACTTGCTGGCGAGATTTCGTCGTTGAAGAAGAAGCATCTGACGGCCAAATCTTCTGCGGAGGCGGCGAAGAAGGAGAATGTGGAGTTGCGAAGTCATTTGGAGAAGGTGCAGGGAGAATCGACCAAGGTGAAGGGGGATGCGGAGATGAATGTGGAAGCGTTGAGGTCGGAGTTGGAGTTGATGAAGGCGAGGGCGAAGGAGGCCGAGGCGAAGCTTGCTGGTGTGAGAGAGGAGTTTGAAGGGGAGATGAAGAAGGTGCAGGAGAAGAAGGCGGATGAGGCGGAGGATGATAAGACGCTGTTCAGCAAGGAGCATTTGGAGGAGGTGGTATCGATGCACGAGCTGGAAAAGAGCACGTTGAGATCCATGATCAGGAAGCTGGAGGCGAGCGTATTCGAAGAGACGGACAAGGCTCATCGTGCCACGCGTCGGGCGATCGATCTCGAAGAGCAACTTCGCAAGACCTCTTCAACACCTTCAAACAGAACGACCAACGGCGAATCTACGGCCAAGAGTCACCGCCGCAGCGTCACCAGCGCACACATCCCTTCCCTGCCCTCTCTCTCCGAACAAGAACCTGCCTCCCCGCCTCCCCTCCCCTCGCCCTCTCGAAGCGAAACCAGCACCGCCTCTTCCTCCACCACTCCCGCACGGATCGGCATCCGCACCCTCGCAGCATCCGAACTCCCCCTCCCCCCCTCCCAACGACATCGACGACGGGAAAGCCTCCAGATGCTCGCAGCTCGAATTCAGCCTTCCGTCAACCTCTCGTCTCCACCCCTTCAATCCCTTCCGCACTTCCAATCCGTCACTTTGGCGAGCAAAGGTCACACACCTTCGAACAGCATCACCGCTACGCCACTCGCACCCAGCACAGACGGCTCAACCAAACGCGCAGGTAGACACGAGTTTGCCAACGACGAACTGCTCTTCTGCGCTTGCTGTAGAGACGATCTTATCATTGTCTGATGCTGCCGTCATCAATACCAGTCTAGAAACACGCGATTTGTGGGTGAGCAGTATGTGCTTGCATTGAACAAATAGCTCGTGAGAGAAGCAGTGAAAGGGGAAAAAAAGGGGGGAGGGTATAGCGAGGGGGAAAAAACAAAAACAGTCTCGTTCAAGGGAACCATGTTGGAGGAAACCCGAGAGCAAAAGACAAAATACAGTTGGATGATAAGCAGACATGCAATGTTTCGACAGTAGAACGGATGGTAAAAGGGTTTCTTTGAGTTGGATCAAAGTGCTTGCAGGCTGTTGGAGCGTCTGCTAACCCGCAACATCACGTCGTCATAGCGGCATTCTTTCCAGGCAGCTCACTCTTCGCGATCGCGTTTGAGCTGAGCACCCGTACTTCCATTCGCATTCTTACTTGCATTGCCTTTTCCTTTCCCAGTATCACTGCCACCATCTGCCGTACCTACACCTCTGGGATGCAATCCACTCTGCCTGTCCGGGGTGTCCGCGCGAAACTGAGCATCACCGTTCGTGACAGGCGATGCGTGTGCGGTCGGAGCTCCCGAACCCCTCGACCCGCTTCCGCTTGGACCTGCCAGATTGGAAAAAGGATTAGGCACAGCGCTCTGATCCAACCCGCCGGGCATGGCCTGATCAGGTCTGACGGTGATCAGACTCTTCAACCAGCCGTTTTCGGTCCTCAATCTGGCATTCTCGGCTTCGAGATCCGCCATGCGCTGTTGCAGCTCTTTGGCTGCCGACTCCAATGCCGCTTCGCGCTGCTTCTTCTTGATGCGGAAACGCGCGGACGCAGCCGTGTTGCGACGACGCTTGTCTTCTTCGATGGCGAGCCGGTTGGCTTCGGCGTCCGCTTCGGGGTTGCCCGTGTCGATGAGCTTGAGCGGAGGGATCTCGTAGCGTCGTTCGACATCTTCGAGTCGACCGAGAATCTCGTCCGAGTCGTCCGGGTCTGCGTCGATCTGGGGCTTCTTGCCTTCGGATGTGCTTGTGCGCTTTTTCTTAGAGGGAGCAGAGGCGTTTGCAGACGGGCCGGCTTCGTCGCTGGGGCGGTGTGAAGACTCGTTGGAGCTGGAGTGTGGGGCGACACCATTGGTGAGGCCGTTGACGACAGCAGTGGGAGCAGCCATCTGAGCGGGAGAAGTTGGTGGAAGGGCACCACCTCCGAGCTGCGACCCCCAATTGACGTTCTGAGGCGAAGGACCGCTGATGCTGTTGCCACGCGAGCCTGCCAAAGACTGAGCGCCGAGCCAGGGCGATGCAGCGGTGCTGGCGGCGCCGTTGCTGTGGTTCGGCTGAGTTTGCTGCTGAGGCGGCGCAGCTTGTTGTGCTGCGTTGAATGCACCGAGTCCCCCACCTGCGTTGACAATACCCGCAAGGTGCGACTGCAGTTGCGGGTTGGTGAGACCGGCGAGCTGACTCAAGCTGGCGAGGGCAAGCGGGTTGCTGGCCAAGAGATGCTGCAAAGCCAGAGCCGAGGTCATGTCAAGATTGCCTGGGCTGCCAAAGCCAGGTTGAGAGGCCTGCGGCTGCTGGAGGTTGGAAAAGCCGTTGAAGAGCTGGAAGGGGCCAGGAGGAGGATTGGTGGCTGGCGACGGCCGGACGGCTGCGTTAAAGTTGGGTGCACCGGGAAAGTAGGAGTGATGCTGTTGCTGTTGTTGCTGCTGCTGTTGCTGCTGCGGGTGGTGGGACTGTTGTGGAGGATGCTGCCCTGGTGTGTGCGGCTGGGATGTCGGTTGGTAGGGCTGATTTGAGCCCGAAGCGTTCGAGTCGACGTCGCGCGCTTTGCCGCGAAGCGCATGGCTGCCGCGAGAGCTCGCTGCAGCGTTCCTTGCGAGCCTTTCGCGCTCTTCCTCCTGATTGCGGCGGTTCTCGTCCTCGCGTCTTCGGTTGTGCTCTGCCTCCTCCTTCTCCTTCTCCTCGTCACCTAGCAGTGCGTGACCGGTGGGACCATCGAAGCTAAAGTTGGCGTTTGTCCAAAGGGCTAGCTGATCGGCAAAGTTGGGAGCTTGAGCGCCGGTGTTGTCGTTGTTGGAGGAGCCGCCAGCAACGTCGTCTGCCACGGCAAAGGCATCCAAGTTGGCGAGCATGTTGTCTGACCGAGAATTGTTGGCGCTATCGTTCTGCGAATCGGCGGGAGGAGATGTGAACTGGTTGAGTCCAAAGAGGAAAGAGTTGGGACTCTCCTCGAAGGGCATTCTTCCAATACCAGAGCGCTGATCACTGGAAGCGGGTGGGCGAGTTGTTGCAAGGCAGCGAGAGCGATGTTGGTACAAGGAAGAGAGGCAACGACGCCAGGATGGAGGATGGACGACGCAAGGCGAGCAAATAGAAGAGGACAGAGGAAGAAGAATGACTTAGATAGAAGGGTGAAACCAATCGACGATAGCCGAGCCGATGCGGGCTTTCGGAAAGATTCAGGCAGCCAAAGAAGACGCGGAATACAGTAAGTGAAGGGTTGAGTCGTGTGGACGTGGATGCGAGCGGAAGGGCGTCAATGTGATTGGGCAGCTGGAGCAAGAGCAATTGCGAAGGAAAGGTTCAGAGTTGGTCGAGATGACGAATACAGTGGTTGATGGTGTGAGTTGGATCAAAGTAAAGGATCGCGATGGCTAGAGCGACCTTGACAGCCGATTCGCAGTCTCAGCACAGCAGAGCAGAGCATGCATACCGCGTGCAGTGTCCGGTGGGACACGATTAACCACCGCGGATCTCCCTCAGACGGCTTCCAGTTTTGCAACTTTTTTTGGCTTTTCGGTTTTGGAAATCGGATCTGAAAGAGGCACAAGTCACAGCCAAACGGGCACCAGCTCAGAGCAGCCGGGTCGAGTATAATAAATTAACAGTCATCATGGTGACTTTTAGCACGTTTCTTCCTGTCGCCGCCCTTGCCGATGCAGCTGCATCTGCTTCTGCTTCAGCTTATGCTTTGTTTGAGCTTCTTATCGCCGTCGCTGAAGCTAAGCCAGCAGCAGGAGAAGCCCGCGCCTCGACATCATCGTCTCACGCCATTCCGGTGGGAGGGCGATTATTGCACGAAATGTTGTGTGACCCACCGACGACACCAAGAGCAACGCAGCGGATAGGTAGATTCCCATCAGATTGTTGATAGACGTTGCCATTCAGCAGGAAGCAGTGAGCCACCTGCCTTTGCTGACCAGCTCAGGGTGCAGTTCTATTCCACCGAACCCGTAAAAGCCGGAACTAACAACCCCGTGGAGCGTTGCGTCCAGTTCCGTTGCTTTCACCTGCAGCGCGTATGCCAGACAGACCACGCTCATCTGCATGCATCCCCCAACGCAGGCCTCACCGCACGCAATAAAGCATGAAAATCAACCGACACGCGAGGATTGCCTCTTTTCCCTCCGCTCTGACGTGATTTGCCTGCTCGCCTTTCCGCCCATGAAGCTTTGAAGCTGCCTTGATTGCCCACTCTTATCCGGCTGATCAGAGCCCCATCCTTGGCCTCTCTGGTCGTCATCGCTCGCTGATATCGCGGCATTGACCAGGCCAGGCATATCGCCTGATGGACCCTCACGGGAAGTGCCAACATCGGGGGAAATGATCTCGATGCAATGGATTTATTCGAAGCTGTTAGACCCTCACAGAAATTAATACTGACAGCAAGCTTCATGCATTACCTACTCGTTTGTCATTCAGATTCGCTGCCCGATCACAATCGAGCCCGAGTCTGGCAAGCTGCGAGCGAGCCAGCGCACCGACCAATTCGCAGTCGCGGTCGCCTGCAATTCGCGAGCCTGTCGAGCTGGAAGCTTGGCTCGATTTCCAACACTCAACACTTGATTTCCAGCACAGACAGCACACGGAGCGAAACACACACGCAGAGCAACAGCGCTGCAGCAGGGCAAGAGATTCCGAGACGCGAGCCATACCTTCTCATCGACCTTGCCAATCATCGCACCCGTCCTCCCTTCTCCATCACTTCACCGCTCGCAACGACATTGCAGCTCACCGACTGGCACGTAGTCTCCGCTTCTGCTAGCATCGCTGTCGCTGCTTCTTGCCGCACATGTCGTTCAAAAAGGATGAAGAGGCCGGGGCCACCGGCGGCTTCTACCAGGACAAGACCTCGGTCATCCAGGAAGCCCGTGTATTCAACGAAACCCCCATCAGCCCTCGCAAATGCCGCATCCTGCTCACAAAGGTCATCTACCTCCTCTACATGGGCGAATCCTTCTCCCGACAGGAGGCCACCACCCTCTTCTTTGGCGCCACGAAGCTCTTCCAGCACAAGGATCCCGCCTTGCGACAGATGGTCTACCTCGCCATCAAGGAGCTCTGCCCCTTTTCCGACGACGTCATCATGGTCACCGCCTCCATCATGAAGGACATGCAACCCAACGTCGAGGTCATCTATCGTCCCAACGCCATTCGTGGCCTCAGCCGTGTCGTCGACCCTTCCATGGTACAGGGTCTCGAGCGCTTCTTCAAGTCTGCCATTGTCGACAAAAACACTTCCATCAGCTCAGCCGCCCTCGTGTCCGCCTACCAGCTTCAGATTGCCGCCCGCGATGTCGTCCGCCGTTGGGGAAACGAGGCGCAGGAGGCCATTAACTCCAAGAGCTCTTCCGGCGCCGGCTTCTCCAGCGGCTTTGCCGGTGCTGGCAGCTACCTCGGTTTCGGCTCGTCCCAGTCGCAGGCTCAAGCCACTTACCAGGCCGTCGCCAGCAGCAGCTACATCACTCAATACCACGCCCTCGGTCTGCTCTACCTCATCCGACAGGGCGACCGCATGGCCATCACCAAGCTCGTCCAGCAGCTCGGCGGTGGACGTGGCGGTGCTTCCAGCGGTCAGGGAAGCGTCCTTCGCAGCCCCTACGCCATCTGCATGCTCGTCCGATACGCTGCCAAGGTAGCCGAGGAGGACCCTAACCTCCGTGCCCCCATGATGGAGCTTCTCGAGGGTTGGTTGCGCCACAAAAGCGACATGGTCAACTACGAGGCCGCACGTGTCATTTGCGAGATGAAGAACGTATCGACCCAGGACCTGTACAGACCCATCGCTGTCCTTCAGCTCTTCCTCTCCTCGCCCAAGTCGACGCTCAAGTTTGCCGCCATCCGAACACTCGCCAAGCTGGCTCAAACGCAGCCCGCCGCAGTCCAGACTTGCAATGTCGACATGGAGAACCTCATCACCGACACCAACAGGAGCATCGCCACCTACGCCATCACCACCTTGCTCAAGACCGGTAACGAGGCCTCCGTCGACCGTCTCATGAAGCAGATCAGTGGCTTCATGTCCGAGATCAGCGACGAGTTCAAGGTCATCGTCGTCGACGCCATCCGCAGCCTCTGCCTCAAGTTCCCCTCCAAGCAGACGGTCATGCTCAGCTTCCTCGCCGGCGTGTTGCGCGACGAGGGCGGATTCGAGTACAAGCGCGCCGTCGTCGAAGCCATCTTTGACATGATCAAGTTCATTGGCGAATGCAAGGAGACCGCGCTCGCCCATCTCTGCGAGTTCATCGAAGATTGCGAATTCACCAAGCTCAGCGTGCGCATCCTTCATCTGCTCGGCGTGGAAGGACCCAAGATGCCGCAGCCTCACAAGTACATCCGCTACATCTACAACCGTGTCATTTTGGAGAACGCCATCGTTCGTGCTGCCGCTGTCAGCTCGCTCGCCAAGTTCGGTATCGCCGACAAGTCGCTCAATGCCAGGATCAAGGTGTTGCTCGAGCGATGTCTCGACGATGTCGATGATGAGGTGCGCGATCGTGCTGCGATGTACCTTCGCGTGTTGCGCGAATCGAGGCTCGCGGCTAAGGTCGTCAATGACGAATCGAGCTACAAGCTCACTGCGCTCGAGTCGGCGCTGCAGTCGTACGTGTCAGATCCATCTTCGTCGACGAGCGTCTTCGACATCACCAAGATCCCGCGTGTCACGCGCGAGGAGTCGCGACAGGAAGCGCTGCGCGCCAAGAGCGAGGCCACCGCCAGCGTCGCCATGGCTGCAGACAGCTCGCAGAGCGTGCACGCCGCTTCGAACAACGGAGCTTCGACGTCCAAGGCTTCGTCGGTGGACTCGGAGACGCTGTACGCCAAGCAGCTTGCCGAGGTTCCGCAGTTTGCCGACTACGGACCGGTGCTCAAGAGCTCGACCAAGCCGGTCGAGTTGACCGAGTCCGAGACCGAGTATGTGGTGAGCGCGGTGAAGCATGTCTTTGCCGATCATGTGGTGATCCAGTACAACGTGACGAATACGTTGCCGGATACGGTGTTGGAGAACGTCGCTGTTGTGGTGGGAGGGGCTGCGGAGGCGGGGTTGCGGGAAGACTTTATCGTCACTGTTCCTGCGTTGTCGGCGCAGAGTCCGAGCGGTGTGGTGTATGTCTCCTTCACACGCGAGGGTGGAGCTACGGACTACGTTCAGGCAACGCTCTCCAACACGTTGCGCTTCGTTTCCAAGGAGGTGGACCCCTCCTCTGGCGAACCAGAGGAGGAAGGATACGACGACGAATACCAGACGGAAGAACTCGAACTGGGTGTGGCGGACTACATCAAACCCGTCTACGCCAACTTTGGAGAAGAGTGGGATCAGTTGGCTTCGGCTTCCACTGCCACCGAGACGTTCGCTCTGACCGCACTGGACGGTCTCAAGACGGCGTGCGATACGCTGATCGAGCTGTTGGGTATGATGCCGTTGGGTGGGACAGAGAGTCCGGCTTCGACGTCGGTTCACACGTTGAATCTGTCGGGTGCCGTGGCTAGTCCCGGTAAGGCGGTCAAGGCGTTGACGAGGTGCAGGATGACATTTGCGGCGGGGCAGGGTGTGACGATGGAGTTGTCGGTCAGAGCAGAGTCCGAGGCCGCTTGTCAGTTGGTAATGAGCGCGATCGCGTGAGGTGGAGAATGTTCTGTACGGCCTGCAACATGTCGATTGCAACCATATTTGCGCTTCTACGAACTCGTCTCTGTGTGTGAGTGTGAGGGAGAAGAACGTCTTCGATTGGTTTGTGCATGCATGGAACTTCAGTACAGAACAGTGGAAGTCTGTCTTCTGGCAATCAATCTCTCTTCCTCCCTCCTCTTGAACGCCGCCACCTTCTTGACCAACGCAGGATCTTGTTTGAGACTCCTACTCGAGACGTTCGCCGTACAACTGCTCGCGGGACACTTGTTGTTCCCTGCTGCGACGTACGCCTCTATCGCGCTCTTGGAATAGGAATGTGTACACAGAGAATTCGTCAACGGATCCTCCAAGATATTCGTCGTCAAGGGACATCTGAAGTTCATCACCAATCCACCGGTCTGAATCTCGTCATCGCTATCTTCTTCATCACCATCCTCTCTCGGAATGAGGTCGCTGACCAAAGGCATCGGACCATCCTCTTTCGCCACCCATACGGTGTTTTTGAAGTTTTCGTAGGCTGCGTTCTTTGCGTATTTCTTGCGTGATGTTTGCTTGTTGTAAGCGTCGAGATTGGATGCGACGTCCTGTTTGTATCTATCAGCGGGAGAGGAGAGGGTGGTACCGGTGTGCAAGTCTTGGGCGATCTCTTCGAGGACTTTTCGCCGGATGGCCTTTTCCGCTTGGGCATCGATCAGCTCGCGAAGGTCGACATCGGCTTGTTCGAGCTCGGTGCAAGAGTCTTGGTTGCGGAATGCCTCGGCGAGTTGTTCTGCGGTTTCGTTGAGAAGCTCTATGCACCTGAGTATGGAGGCGTCGGAGGATCTGAGTTCGGAAACGAGACTGCGGACGTTGGGCACGTGCTCGCGGGATAAGGGTTGAGGTCTAAGTTCGGTGTCGAGATCAACGGCGGCGGCGGCAGCAGGGGCAGCAGCACTACGAGAGGAGCTGGGACCAGCGGACGACGAGGCGGCTTGAGATCGACGCTGTGATGGTGGAGCGACTGCTTCCGTTTCGTCCTCGCTGTCATTTACTCGACGACGTCTTGTGGCGCTGGGCATCGTGAATGAAGCAGAGAGTACGCGCGAGAGTTCGTGGAGGAGAACGAGTATGTAAGGAAAGAACGAAGGAGAGATTGCGTTGCGAAAGAGGGTTGCTAGCGAAGGTTTCCGCAATTTGATGTGTCAAGCGACTGATCAGAAGGAAGACGGAAGGTGTTGCAGTCGAGTCGAGACCAACACACGACAATCCAAGAAATCCAATTGCAGCTCCACTTCCCCAAGCCTCCATTTTCAACGCACGTTTCCCGCTTCTCAGGGTCTGCGGTCGGCTCAGCCCAAAACTCAGCCAGCAGCAGCAGCAGCAGCAGCAGCAGTAACGCAGAGCAACCAGGCAACCAATTTTGCGCGACGCGTTGAGTGGACCAAGTTTGCGAGCCTTCAACGCACTTTGTTAGAGTCATGCGAATCTGCAGGCACCTCAGCACAGTCCGAAGTTTAAACAGCCAGAACCAAAAAAAAGAAAAGGACGCAGCCAGAAAAATTTCGTCTGCGGTGCGGCTATTCCAGAACAGAAGCGAGAAATCGATGCTACAGAAACCGCGAGTCGTTCAAGATCATCCTCTTCTCTTGCTACCTCCTACCTAGTCCGCTTTCTACCCTGTTCCTCCACCTTTTCCGCACCGTCAACGACTTTAAGCCCAGGCTTGCTTTCGGATCGACGCTATAGACACTGCGATTCGAGGTCGTCGCAGTCTCACTTAGCGGCATCGACAGCGATACCGGCACCCTATTAACCTTTCTTGCTTCTACCACTTCCCTCCTTAACGTGACGACAAGATGAAGTACATCGTGGTCAGTGGAGGTGTCATCTCCGGTATCGGCAAGGGCGTTATCGCCTCTTCCACCGGCCTGTTGCTCAAGACGCTCGGTCTTCGCGTTACCGCCATCAAGGTCGATCCTTACATGAACATCGATGCCGGCACCATGTCCCCTACCGAGCACGGTGAGGTCTACGTCCTGGATGACGGAGGAGAGGCCGACTTGGATCTGGGCAACTACGAGCGATACCTTGACGTCACTCTCAGCCGCGACAACAACATCACCACCGGCAAGATCTACCGCGAGGTCATTGAAAAGGAGCGAAAGGGCGACTACCTCGGCAAGACCGTCCAGATTGTCCCTCACCTCACCAACGCCATTCAGGACTGGATCGAGGGTGTCGCACAGCGACCCGTAGATGGAAGCGGCGAGTCACCCGAAGTCTGCATCATCGAGCTCGGAGGTACCGTCGGTGACATCGAATCTGCACCCTTCGTCGAGGCCATGCGTCAGTTCCAGTTCCGCGTCGGCCACGAGAACTTTGCCCTCATTCACGTCAGTCTTGTTCCCCTCATCGGTGGCGAGCAAAAGACCAAGCCCACCCAGGCTGCTATCCGCGACCTCCGTGGCCTCGGTCTCGTACCCGACATGATCGCCGCTCGATGCCCAGTCCCTCTCGAGCGTGCCGTCATCAACAAGCTCTCCATGTTCTGCCACGTCGGCCCAGAGCAGGTCATGGCTGTCCACGACGTGTCTTCCACCTACCACGTGCCCCTGCTGCTCGAGGAGCAAGGTATGGTCCGTTTCTTCCAGAAGCGTCTCGGCCTCGACGTGAACGGCAGCATCCCACGGCCCCTGAAGGAGCAGGGCCGCGAGCTTCGAACTCGATGGCGAGAGCTCACTCTCGGCCATGACCGTATGATCGACAAGGTCGAGATTGTATTGGTCGGCAAGTACACTTCGCTGCACGACTCCTACATGTCCGTGGTCAAGTCGCTCGAACACGCTGCGCTCCGATGCCACCGCAAGTTGGAGCTCAAGTGGGTCGAGTCGAGCGATTTGGAGCCTTCCGCCGAGAGCGATGACCCTGTCAAGTACCACCAGGCATGGCAGGCGCTCTGCTCCGCCAAGGGTATTCTCGTGCCCGGTGGATTCGGCACTCGTGGTACCGAAGGCATGATCAGCGCAGCACGATGGGCGCGAGAGAAGAAGGTGCCTTACCTCGGCATCTGCCTCGGTTTCCAGATCGCCGTCATCGAATACGTTCGTAACGTGCTCGGGATCGAGACCGCCGGTTCTGCCGAGCTTGACGCCAACTGCAAGGACCCTGTTGTCATCTACATGCCCGAGATCAGCAAGACTCACCTCGGCGGAACCATGCGTCTCGGATTGCGACCCTCCATCTTCCAGAAGGGTACCGAGGAGTGGAGCAAGATCCGTCAGCTTTACGGCTCTCAGCCCGTTGTGTGGGAGCGCCACCGTCACCGCTACGAGGTCAACCCCGAATACGTCGAGCGCATCGAAAACGCAGCGGCCAACCCAGCGGCGAAAGCATCACCACAAAAGATTCCCAGCGACATTCCTGCCGCATCGCCACCATTCACCTCGCCACGACTCGGCTCCTCGTCTTCGTTTGCCGACGCTGCACAGCAAGCGTTCACCGGTGTCGACGAGCTCAAGTTTGTCGGAAGGGACGAGAAGGGCGAGCGAATGCAGATCGCCGAGCTGCGCCACCACCCGTACTTTGTGGGTATGCAGGCGCACCCCGAGTTCTGCTCTCGACCGCTCAACCCTTCGCCACCCTTCCTCGGATTCATCGCTGCCTCGGCCGGATTGTTGGAGGAGCAGCTCGCCATGCAGAAGAACTACGTCCCACCTCACCCCAAGAGCCACATGATCTCCGAATCCGAGATGATCAAGCGCAGAGAAGCAGGAGAGCTGGACGACAAGCCAGCGACAACGCCTCCTGGTGCGGCTACACCGACCCGAGGCTTGAGCGTCAACAAGGGTCCCAAGGCTGACTTGGCTGTTGCTGCTCGCATCGCCGCTGCCGAAAAGGCCAACGGTGCTGCTGCGGATCACTGATTCTTCAGATCCTCGGTCGTCCCTATCTCCCCGAACGCACATATATCTTGACCCTGCATTTTCACTCTTCCGCTCACAGAAGATAGATCATTCCTATTCGCTTCGGCATAACCTGTTCCGATATTCCTGTATTCTTGCATCCATGACAATCCTTTGGAAAAAAAGCCTGCATGTGGTGGCTTGTGGGAAGGGTGGAGCCGGTGCTTGTTCTGGACAAAGGTGTGATTTCGAGATAGCCTGAACCTGTACAGACGGTCACAAGGAACGTCTCACGCCCTCCTGCGGTGACAGTAGCCGATGGGGCGAAAGCAGCTGACTACAGATGGGAGCAACGACGTCCGTCAGGGACAGTTTGCGCCGCATCAGGTTGGAGTCGGTTTACCCTATTGAGCTCAGGGTCCAAGCTTTTCAGTGAAAGCGACTTGAACGCGGGTCTGTAGCTGAGCCTGGAGCGCAGGCGTCAAACAGTGCAAAAGACGCGCTGCGCAGCCTCACTCTCGTATTCTGCCAGAATTGGGCAAAATCTGAGCTACTCCTTCCAATGTGACATATTGACGAAGCCTTCATCAGGTTTGCGCCCTCCTTCACTCTGCCACTGACACTATGAGATCGATGTGACGTAGCCCGAACCTGTATCGTAGACACACATTTGTGCAGTCAAAGCCTGATGAACTAAGCTTCAGCTGGCCGGTTCGCTCGAGTTGAATTGTCCAAGGTAGTGCCCGACTGGCGTACCTTTTGTTGGCGGCGCCTTCCCGTTCGTCTGATGAGTTCAACTGCCAGTCCCGGCCCTCCTGCAGCTGCAGCGGGGCGCACTGTTGGATCAGACAGAATCTATCCGACACCGCTCTGTGCTCTCGAATGCATCTTCACCCTCCATTGATAAGTGCCTGCTCCACGAGAGCCTGCGGCATCACGTTTTGGTCGCAGGTGAGCGGGATGCGCTGTCACGGCGAACACTGTGGGCCGAATGCGGGCCTCTGATGAGGCCACAGAAGGCGAAGGGTGACTGGTGGGTCCCAATCATCGTGCGTCATTTGAACCGCTCCCACGCAAAGCCCATCGCAAATCCTTGGGAGATACGCTTGGTCTCTGTCGTGCAGAAGCCGGATTCAGAAGCTTTGTTCCAAAGTTCACACCTTTCTACAAAAGAGGAGGTCCAGATTGCACTTCTTGGCGCTCCTGAATTGTGTTCCTCCTATCTTGTTTCCGCAGCTGCTTGCCTCCCTACGTGCCCTCGACGAAGCCTGGTGCTTCTGCTTCCTTGCCTCCATCAACTCTGTACCATCCCTTGATTCCTGCAAAAGCTCGGGCAGGACCCAGCTTCATCAACATTCTTTTGACAACATCAGAGCCCCAAGGTTTCCGAACAATCGCTCATATCAGGCTATCGTCTCAACCCAACCAAGACATTTACGATGACATCAGGACAGCAAGCTAAGACTATCAGCGACATCAAGAACAGTGCTGTCTTGAGTCACCTGACAGAGGGATCAGTCGGCTCCAAAGAGTTAGGTATTTGGTACGACAGTGACAGCGACTCGGAAAAAGATGGGGAAGAGCAGGAAGAGGTGGAGGCAGGCGGAAGTGAGGAGGATGCTGGAAGGGATAGCGACAGCGAGGACAGTGCTGCAGAGAGCAGCGACTCGGTCTCGACCCCCGAGTCGTCGCCGCCGAGCCATCGTGCTGCGGTGGCGCACGGCCAGGATGATGCCTGTTCCATTGCTTTTGGATCTTTTGACGCCAACGGCAGATGGAAGTGGTCAAAGGTGCGTCGGGAAGATGCGATAGACAAGGAGCTTGCTCATGAGGACGCAACAGATGCACAGCTCGCGCAGCCCGCGCTCAACAGACATGATCGTGCTCATTTCGCAATGACCGGTGGTGCGGGCAAGCTGGATGGGCACACAACTCCTTCGAACTTGTTCTGGACCCACCCAGCCAGGGCAGCTCAAACCGACGTGTACGATTTCGACGACGAGGCGTACGACGTTGTCGGATACACGTCGTATCACCCACGCGAGTCGTCCAGAGAGGGACACAGCATCGTTGTGCCAGTTCGCATTCGGCTCGAAGACGACTCCTCAAGCGATGAGAGCGAGTCAAGCAGCACGTCTGGCACATCATGCAGCACGTCGAGCGAATCGAGCGGCAGTGACCCCGAAGCGCGTCGAAGAGCCAGGGTGCACATGCTTCAACGACTAGGTCGCAACGTTGCGATCCCGCAGCGGCGTGCCTCAGCTGTGAGGCTCGGCCATGGAGCGGCGCCGAGACGACCCCCTTCGCTCGACGAGATCTCAAATCGTGTCGTGTCAGGCTCAGGATGCACCTATGCCAGAGGTACATCAGCAACTAGCGCAAGGTATCGTGAACAGCAGCGAGCCGTGAGCTGTCCATCCCCACTCCTGACACAGCAAGCGTGGTTCGGCGAGGTGCATGTTATGGTAACGCCGCCCACGCCACAAATGTCCTCGGAAAAGATCCCAGGCGTCGTCTTCAAAAGCCAGCACGTGCGCCCTTGTGCGTTCTCCACCGACGCACACGGTAATCTGGTGGCACCTGCCTTCGATGTTGCGCCAGGTAGACAGAGGATGTTGGAAGAGAGGGAGCAACAGGCAAAAGAATGGTTACAGGCTTTCAAAGAGCAGCAACAGCGACAGCAACAGCAACAGCAACAGCAACCGGACCGACAAGGCTTGCACCTCAAATTGGGAGCTGGATCTGCGGCTCCTCCTGTGGCTACGGAGCAGCAAGTCGCCGCGACATTTGCGCCAAGCAGTCCAACACGTCGCAAATCTCCATCTTCACCTTCCCTCGGATGCGAGGATGAGCCTGCGGCGCCTACGTTACTGTTACAACCCGGCGGACCTCCGATCCCGCCTCGACGACGCAGCTTCGGCGGTCAACGTCATGCTTCAGGGCAGATCAAAGCCATCGACGTGACTGAGGCTTGTGTGTCCAGACCTCCGAGCGCCGAGAAACCTCAATGCACCGGACTGCCAGTCAACGTACCTGGCAAGACCACGTCTATCAGTGCGTCATCAGGACCGGCCGCCGCTGCCGTCGCCGGCGCAGCCGCTCCTCGTCGTCGATCGCTGGTGGCGAGGCTCGGTCTGCGCAAGCCGAGCAAGGAAGTCAAGGCGGCACGCGAAGCTGTACTCGACGCTTGCAAAACAGTACCTGCCGCTGTAGCCTGAGAGATCGTACTGTAAGAGGTGCTCAATGCCAAACAGATCTCTTGCAGCACACACACAGACGATGCATTTCGCTCGAGTTTGTGGGATGTGAGGCCTGGTGAGCGCTTGTCGTCGATCCATAATGGCACCGTGGATTTTCTGCTGTCCCGCCAATGTTAGCGCGAGTCTGTGTCACAAGGATCTCAGAAACAAATGAGGAATTTGATGAGCGCTGGAAGACTTCGGCCGAACTTGTTGGCTTCGGTTCCGAGATAGACAAATTTTCAATTTGGCCAGATCGAGCGAAAGGGGCGCGCGAGGCGAAATTTAGCAGCAGGCCGAAGCCTCTCAGCGGAGGAGAGGTCCTGGCAGATCAGGGAGGAGACGCACACACGTCCTCGCCATCCGATCGACGTTTCCACTCCTGCCACCTTTCCTCTAAGCACATTCGCCTACTATCGTCAATATGGAGTCCACCAAGGTCCCTGTCAAGCTCGCTCGTGTAAGCATCATCACCGTCATACTGCGACGACAGACGTGATACGACAACCAGCCAGCCAGGCATATCGACCATCTTTGCCGGCAGTAGCAGTCATCAGCAATGTAGTGACAAGTAGCAATAGCGACAACAGCAGCAGCAGCAGCAGCAGCAACAGCAGACAGAGCCGGACTTACTCTTCGACACCACCATCGACGAACGAATCTTCTCGGTATTGCATTGCAATGTATAGTTGGACAGTCTGGATGGAAGCGACGCAATATCTCGGGTGGAGCCAGGTGATACATGGCAGATGTTTTCAGCATCGGAATTAGGCACGCGACAAAGACGCTCGTTCGCTTTCTTCTGTTGGTCATTGCACCTGTGTCGTCTCGAAGGTGCGACTTATTGCTGGTATCGAACAAGGTTGGAAGCAGGATGTACAAGTGGAAGTCTCGATTTGTACTCCTGGGACCAGCTGCTGCGTGATCGTCGAAAGGTCCCTTGTCGTCATGCTAGCGGCTACTAGACGACAATCTCCTTCCCCACCATCGATCGGACTAGTAGCGGGCACGAGACAGTGTCCATCACAATGGCGATTCGGAAGCACACCCATCTATCAGGCCTAGACCGACGTGCAAGTTCCTCGCCAGGTACCACACGATCAAACCTCTGCCATTCTCCACCCATGACCGACATTGCGCACTAGTCTTGCAGTGCTGCATTCAATCGACTCGCTCCGTCAGATCAGCCGAGCTTTCGACCGTACACCCTTTGCGACCGACGACAACATTCCTTTTATTGCTGCTGCAACTGCTGTTGCTTGCTTATTGCTACTGCTTCATGGATTTCGGCTCTGTCGTATCTGTCTCCAACACTTCAATCTGATGCAGTCTCACTCACACTTTCCTGCTCTTCCTCTTCGGCATTGCCATATAACAGGTTACTAAGGTTCTCGGCCGTACCGGCTCGCGCGGTGGTATCATCCAGGTCCGTGTCGAGTTCATGGACGAGACCCGCCGATCGATCATCCGCAACGTCAAGGGCCCCGTCAAGGCTGACGACATCCTCGCCCTCCTCGAGTCCGAGCGTGAGGCCCGACGACTCCGATAAGCAGCTTGCATTCACTTTGTTTGGCACATACACACAATGGTCTCAAACCTCTGTTGCGATCATGTCCTTGATCTGCCGTCAGCTGGTAGGCTAGCCTCGTAGGTCGGAACTCCACCCTCGATTGTTTTTCGCTCTCTCAGCATTCAAAATGACGTTCTTCAGATCAGGATGCCCCGTCAAACAAATAGCAAGCTCGTTTCGTTTTCGGTAGTCTCTCTCTCGGTCATCCCGTCTCGATCTTTGGAAAGAGGTGGGATCGTGTACAATCAGCAAGCTCCCTCGCACATACACATTCACACACCTACGCACATTCTCGCATCCTTTTCACACCAGACACACATTTTTGCTCTGCATTGTGTGATGCAATCCCAAAAGCCCCGCGTATGGGGTCCGATTCTCTGATTTTGATTTGGGAGTAAGCTTGTGTGCTGATGAGCATTCGAGCATTTGACTGTTGTTGGGGGGGCGATGATTGTGATTGCGTTGGAAAACGATATGAGATGATGTTGTTACAGAATATGCCAAATGAGAGATGCAAAGTATGCGAACTTGAGAGAGAGATGCGCGAACTACTTTTGGGCGATGAGTTGGTGAAGAGCGGCTACGATCAGCTGATGGTCGTCCTCCTGCTTCAGCCCGGATACGACGATGGCGCCTACTGGACCGGCAGTGCAACCCTTGATGCGGATGGGAAAACCTCCACCGTGAGCAGCGTAATCGGCCCCCAAACCGTCCAGCTCTTTCCCCTTGGCTAGTCTCTGACGACCGACGAGGAAGCTCGATAGACCGAATCGTTTGACCGTGTTGCTTTTGCGTCGTACCCAGTCCCAGTTGTCAGCAGCGACTTTGGATGGGTTGCCCACAGCGCACGAGAAGAGCGTGTGACCGGAAAACAGGGAGATGTGGATGACGATGCCGTCGGTTTGCGCATCGAAGCGGGAGAGGAAGTTGGTGCGGATGAGAGTGCCGAGCGTGAAGGCGGTGTCGTTGTGGAGTTCGGATAGGACGAGGGAGGATTCTTGGGTTTGGATGAGGGAGATCTGCTCTTGCAGCTGGGCTTGTTGCGAGCTGGAGGCGCTCATTTTGGAGTTAGTTTGTGCGATGGTGGTAGCAGAGCCGTCGTGGTGGCAGCTAGGAGCGTCGAGGAGGAGAGCAATGGGAGCCTGTGATCAAGTGTGAGGAGCGGCAATCAAGTAACATACGGCGAGTTCGGCGATATGCTCGTGCACAGTGCGCACAATGGTTAGACAGACAGTCATCCCTCCGAGCCGATCTGCAGGTATCAGCAGGCGACAAGAAGAAATTGTCCGCCTGATCTTTTTTCGTGTTAGCGCGCGAGAGGAGACAATGTACACCGGCAACTCGCCTTTTTCTTGTTTCCAGACGCGCCCTTGAGCCCGAAGTTGGTTATCGAGATCTGCGGCCCCTGTGTACATGTGCCGGTTTGAGAGGGAGAGAGATTGAGGAAATGGAGAGTGAGAATGTGCTTGCCTCTCTTTGATTTTTCCCGCTGGGCCTCTCCGCGCGAATGTGCTCGTTCCGCCCCCGCTCACCTCGGTGTGGCTGGCCTCGAGCCAACCAACAAAGAAAGCAAGTTAGCAACCCAAGGACGCCTCTCGCTCGCCGACGTTCTGTCTCGCCCGCTGTTTCGCACGCACGCGCCTGTTGCGCCCACACACACACACACACACACACACACACAC